ATTTTTATATTCTTACAGATATTTTTACTTGGAATAGGTTGCTTGGAAACAGTTTGATCCTTTTTCAATCTTGCTTTTAAGCTTTTTAAGGCAGGGCCAGAACAGCATTTATTTTAGGATTAATTTTTCTTGACTACTAGGGTAAACTTTTCTGAGTACTCACTCCACGTAAACTGTAAGTTTTTTTCTGTGGTGGTTATTGGGAACAGAAATTACTGCTGGTCCTGTGTAAAATCCAGACATTGTTTTCTCTAGTCCTTGACTCTTTCCTGGCTTGAGGTAGTTTCCTCACAAGTATTCAGTTGAAGTCTTAGCTAAAAGGCTGGGAAGCCCACCCCCTGTCGTTTTAGCCAGTTTTCTGTTGCTATAGCTGAAAAGTAGGTAATTTATAAAAAAAAAAATAGAGGTTTATTTAGGTCATAGCTGTAGAGACCAGGAAGTCCAAGAGGTCCGGAGGTCTGACACTGGGATCTGGTGAGGACCTTCCTCTGCATCATAACATGGCTGAGAGTATCAAATGGCAGGACAGAGAAGTGTGCTAGCTGAGGTCTTTTCCCCCTTCCTCTTCCACCTTCTCTCCTCCTCTTCCTCTTCTTCTTCCTCTTCTTCCTCCCTCCTCCCCTCCCCATCCTCTTGTGTGTGTGTGTGTGTGTGTGTGTGTGTGTGTGTGTGTTACTAGGGATTGAACCCAGGGTCTTTGCACTGAGCTATATCCCTAGCCCATTAGGTTGAGATATTCTTGCTAAATTTCCCAAGCTGAGCTTGAATTTGTGATATTCCTGCCTCCACCTTGTAGGGTGATGGGATTACAGGTGTTTGCCCCAAGTCCTCTCTCCTTCTTTAAAAGCCACTAATGCTAACCCCAGGACCTCATCTAATCCTCATTACTTCCCAAAGACCCTGTCTGCAAATACCATTATCAAATGAATTTAGGCTTGGATTTCCAATACATGAACCCAATACAAGACACATTCAAACCGTAATACTCCCTCTGTGGATCTCCAGAATTCTCTTCCTCTGTAGCTCTCTCCTCTGTAGTCTTTTACCCTATGAACTCTGACTTCTTTGGCTTCTGTACATTGCCAGTTTCATTTCTCCTGGGTTCCCTTTCCCCTGCACTGTGTCCTGGAAATTCTTTCCATGTAGAAAGCTGGGAGCAGTTGTAGGGCCCTCATTGTTTCATTGTTCATTTCCTATTTTTCAGGGATCATCATTTTGCATTGCCCAGTCTCCAGTTCTTGAGAACAGTTGTTTTACATATTCTGTGTTTTTTTAGTTGTTTCAGGTGGGAGTTTAGACCTGATCCCTTCCTACTTCTTCTTAGCCAGAAGCATAAGTTTTCCCAGAACAGAACTTTTTTATTTCATACTCATTTCTGTCATTAAGAAATTAGTGATTCTGGTCTTAGTTTTTTACTTCATTATCCACCTTCGCAGAGCTTTACCAATAATTCTTTTTTTAAAAAAATTGATTTAATATTTGTTAAGTATTTACCTATACGATGTTATATGTTAGTTGCTAAAATATATAGCCTCAAATCCCTGCACCAGATAAGTTTCAGGACAGATAGGGTTCTGGTTATAATTAAAAGTAATAGATTTTGAAAGATCAGAAGTGCCACTGCAATGTAGAGTGACAAATGTATGTTGTGCTATGGTAAATGATCAGACATTAGAATTGATGGCCTTTGCTAACAAATGAATTCTGTCACTAACCATGAGCAGGTTAACCATCCTTTCCTGGCCATCTGTGTTCCTTCTGCCACCATAAAAGTAGCATTAATCATAAAAGTAACAGTGATGGCGAACCTCCTAGAGCTTTCAGTGATAACAAATAGCCTGCTGTGGCACACGTTCCGTAGGTTCGCCACCCCTGATTTATACTGTTGGTCCTGCATCTCTCCTGAATTCCTCTCCTTTAATATGATCTTTTATTTCTGTTTGAGTGCTGCTCATGCTGTTAGACCTGATCTCATCTAACTATTTACCTTTGGGAAATATAGCACATTACCATGTTAGTTACATTTGCTGCAGATAGGTAAATTTTTCAATCAGTTTGTACATTCTCAAAAGCAAATGTTAATTGGTTAATGTGAGGAGGATAGAAGGTTAAAGGCATCAGAAAACCTCAGTTACAGTTAAGCTGGTCTGTATTTCCAAAGGAACTCTTTGGATAATGAATGAGGTCAGTTATCACTTCAGTTATGTAAGTGAAGCTGAAGGTTGCTAGTGACATCTGGTGATCCTTTCTCTGTGATTGAGCAGTAGGAAAATGAGGTAAATGCTAGTGTGCAGTGAGAGGGTCAGGTGTGTAGAATATTGCCTGAAAAGTGAAAGGTGCGCATCCTGACTGGTTCTATACCAACTATATTATGGCCTGATCATGAGTACCAAGGATTCCAGAGCCATAGTTGATGGATTTTTTTTTTCATTTATTCTGGTTAGTTGTGATCAAAACCTTCCTTGGAAAAATAACCTATGTTTAGATGACTACTAGCACATGTGGTCTGCTGGAGCTTGTGGGAGCTCTGGATATTCCTGCTCCTTCTAAAGGAATTCATTGATGTACTTTCAGACACTGTCTCCTCACTCTGGAGAACATGTGGTCTTACTTTGTGAAATACAGTATCTTACACGACACACTGCTGTGTCACTTTGTAAGCTTCGGGTTCCAGGCATCTCTCGCAGCCCTACTTTTTCTCAGATGCTTGGCGAGCCTCCATGTATGAATAGCCCTTCTGTCCTGCAGAGGCTTCAAGAAGCTCTGCTGGAGTGTTTGAGAGTTAACCAGCATCTACTGGGCAAGCACTGTGTGAGGCACTAACTTAAAACTTACAGAGATTGTATGGGAGGGTCTTTTGACCTCAAAAGTACTTTCAGTCCAGAGGGGAAATAGCATAGGTGAATTTAGAGACCCATTTAGTAGGACCACAAGAGAAAATTAGAAGATAAGCAAAACTGCATGTTTTGAATTTTGTCTCCTGAGCGCTCTCTGTTATGATTGGTGGCTTGAGTAACCAAATAGCTGGCATACCACTGTTTATAGGCATGTTCTATTTTGAGATTGAATTTGTGGTTTGGGAAGGATACATTATAATCATTTTCAACAAATGCTTATTGAGTATGCAAAGTATCCCTGTGGTAGGCACAGGGAGTACTGGGAAATAAAAAGTTAACATCCTCTGCTTAGAGTTTTTCATATTTGGGAAGGCAGGATATGTTTAATTTTTTTTTAACTTAAGTTATATCTTCTTCAGAAAAAAAAGCATAGTCACATTGTGGCTTGTGTTTAGATGTCTCCCCAAATCTTCCTGCGGATGAGGTGGGGCTTGCTTTCTCAGAGGTGGCTGAATGTGAAATGTGTAATGCCGGGACTAAGATCCTGTGATTACTAAACCAACACATGTGAGTGATTGGTTTGGCACCGCCTTAATCCCGGTAGTCTGGATGGGATAAAAGGGGCAGAAAGACGCTGTTGAGGTCCCTTGTTGCTTTTGGTGTTTTCACTGCCATGAACTACTGCCCCTCTGCCACCCTGCCTTGGAGCCAGCTGATTATGGACTGAACCTCTATGAACTGTGAGCTAAGTAAACCTTTCCCCCTTTAACTTGGGTGTCAGGTGTTTTGTCTTAGCAATGAGAGAAAAGGTTACTAACACAATCACCAACATTAATAGAAGTATATACTGTAGCTGGGGATTTAGCTCAGTGGTTCTGCTGCCTGCCTCACAAGCGCAAGGACCCAAGTTTGAGCCCCAGTACAGAAAAACAAAAACTAAAACAAAACAAAACTAATATATATATATTTGTTTTATATATATTGTACTAAACTGTTAACTGAGCAGTGTGACTTAGGGTGATAGGCATGTGTCAGGAAAAAGGGAAGGACCTTCACTTTTTGTTATAGACACTGTGTATAGTATATGATTTCTGTATGGCTAGAATTTATTTTTATCGACTAAGGGTAATACCTCTTTGGAATTTTTATTCTTTAATCAGTTAAAAAATGATATAAACTAAAAGATTGTACAGTATTAATCTGAAATATCTGTGGTAAGATTATGAATAATTTCATTTTCTTTGTTATACTTCCTTACCATTGTCTACATTGTCTATACTGAATATATATTTTATAAATATAAAAAGAAAGCACTTGGTGAAAAACCAGGGACACTACAATTTCAGGGTTCTTTAGTTTTATTTTGTTTTTTGAGACAGGGTCTCGCTGTGTAGTTCAGGCTGGCCTTGAATAGTATGTAGCCCAGGCTGCCCTCAAACTCATGGCAGTCCTTCTGCCTCAGCCTCCAAAGTGCTGCACCACTGTGCCTGGCTATAACAATTATTATAGTAACTGTATTTTAACATGAGCACTGTATTTTGGACATAATATACCAGCTTTCCCATTTTTACTCCCCTCTCCTACCACAGTTACAGTAAAGTTTATTATTTTATTTTATATTATTGTTATTAAATAAGAAGATAAATTAAGGCTGTTTGCTTTCTTGCTTCTGCTTCTTGTCCTTTTGGTGAGTTAGCCTGGAGGCAAAAAGAATCCATCTAGTAACTATTCAGCTGTACTGGGAAGAACTGCCAAAAAAAATTTAAATTATGCTGATTGGGTTATAATTATGTCTTGTCATTGTGGGCTCTGATCTCTTGTTTTAGAGCATCCTAAGAATACTTTGCTCTATCTTTATATTTAGTCACATTGGAGAAAGCAATTAGATTATCCCCTCTCTGCATATGGAACAGTGAAGAAAACTCATCTGTTTGGCTTACTTTGTGCTAGAGAGAATTTAAATTCCCAAGTTTATTTGTGATTCAGGTTAAGTAGTTAAATCTTGTTTCTCTCAAACTTTGTTCTGGGAATCTCTGTTCCCTTATAATTATGAGCTTAATTACTCTGAACAGTGATAAATTTCTGAATTGTATGAGGAAGTCAAAAATTGTAGGAGAGTAGATGACATTTCTAAGTGAATTTCATTTGTTCTCCCCATTATAGCATGTGTTTGATGATCTCAGTGGCTCAGTGTCCTTATCTTGGGTTGGAGATCGCACCGGGGTAAGTAATATTTTGAGTTTATTTCAGAATAGTAAGAAGATGTAGATTGAGGGTGGAAGCACTGAATGTCATTGCTTTCTGAAATAGTTTTCAACCTCAATTGGAAAAAAATGCATGTTTGTGGGACAGACATTCAGGAAGTTATAGTTAGTGTGGTTTTGCCTTAGAACTGGGAACATCTTTTGACCACCTTCTTCTACAACAAGTTAGACATGTTGTTTGTTTGTTTGATTTTTGAGTCAGTCTCACTATGTAGTTCAAGCTGGCCTTGAACTCACTATGAAGCCCACACTGACTTAAAAAACTTGCAAGGATCCTCCTACCTCAGCCTCCCGAGCGCTGGGATTGCACGTGTGCACCACCACACCCTGCTAACATAGACACAGTTTTAGTCTTCAGTGGCTCCTTAGTATCAGATGAGCAGGCAGAAAAAGGGGAAACAGAGTGCTATGTGCTGAGACAATATTTGCGAAAACCCTATGTAGAAGCAGAAAAGGGTACGTCACACATCTTTGCATTTTTTTTTTCTCTTGACCCTATTTTTCCTGTATTCTTTCCCACCCTTGTATTATAGGACTATGGCACCCTGGTTGTTCAACTCTCTTATCCCTGTCCATTTGAAAAGGAAGTATTGCCAGGACTGGGGGAATGGAAAGGAGGCAGTGAGCTCTTTATCCCTCCTAGAGTGCAGGTGGCAACTTGCTAGGATGGTATGCTGAGAATACGTGGATCTCAGGTCTGAAATGGGGGGTTGGTTCTGTTGTTAGGGGCCTAAAAAGGGCAGGGGCCATGTCACATGCCTCCTCGTAGTCCAGAAATCACAGCTTTGAGGCACATGACAGCTATATTAGAAGCCTAAAGAAATACATTTTGGTTTTGAAAAACAAGTTCTTCTTTTAATTAGTTTTAAATTTCCAGTAGAATTTCTTTAATCTTGTCTCAGTTTCTTCTAAAATGTGGGTTATAACCCCAGCTTTCACAGATTATTCATTTGGTTTGTATCTCCAAGATTTCTTGTGATACGGCTTTTTGAGGCTCCTTAGACTCCAATACTAGTCTAACCAAGATCTTTTTCTAAGGTATACTTTTTATAAACAAGTAATTATTTATAAAATGAATTTTATGGAGACTTAGTAGTAAGAACAATAGGATAGACAGATACATAGCACACAGTGACTTCTATGAGAATGCCGCACAGTATTTTAACCTCTATAGGCAGAAAAATAAAAGATTGTTCTTGCCTAAGACTATCTTATGATAATTTGCATATAAAAGCAGTTAAATCCTTCCTTTATTATAATGTGTATTTGAGTAGCTCTGTTGCCCTGCCTTGGGTATAGGGGAGGGTTACCATTCCAATGAAGTAAGTTGAGGATATCTGGACTTACAATGATAAATCCTAGAAATCTTGTTATCATCATTTTAAAAATATATATAGTGCAATATAGGCTGCTACAAAGTAGGACTTTGACCAATCTTGCAGGTGTGGTTTAATCTCATCATATGCCAACACGTAATTGGAGTATCTTTCTTATTGACAGAATGCTTTTGTTTCTCTCCAGGTTATTCTAGTCCTGACTACCTTCCATGTACCACTGGTAATTATGACCTTTGGACAGTCCAAGTTATATCGAAGGTGAGATCACAAATATAAGTTAGAGATATTTGACTAAGTAATACATTAGAAATATACACTCCCCCTTCTCTGGACACAGTGGAGTCTAATGGTTTATTTAAAAGATCTTCCAGTCATCTTAAATTTTCATCAGATTGTCACAGCTAGAACACTTCTTAATGTCTGTTTCACAGCCCGAAGGGCTTTCAGGGAGACTAGATCAGCCTGAATGAGGGGCAGAACAATAAAGGAAGGTGAAGGAAGAGTCTATGGGAGTGGGTGTTAATGTTAATTTACATAGATACTTAATTTACAGGACAGTAGCATGGATTTTATGCCTCTTGTGGTTATGAACATAGATTTTTAATATCCTTGAAATTAACATCGTAATTGCACCTTCCAAACAAATATTATTTATATAAAATTTTGAGGTCTAGACAGATATTTCTCTATAAGATGGAGATTCTCAGGTGACTGCTTTTAGATAAGAATGAGGTCTCAGGTCAGATCTACCAGAGTACCCAGGAGTGTTCACAGTGATAATGGCAGTGGGCATGTGTTGTCTGTGCCATTCGTGTTTCAGAGTTGTTTTCCCAGAGGTACAGCTTCATTAAATAGTAGGTTCCTTCCTTAACAGTAAGATTCAAGACCAGCTAACTCCCCAAAATTACTGATTATCTTTTCAATCTTTGCATCCCAAGAAACCTAGAGAAATAATGACTTTCTAGCAGATGAATGCTATCCCAGGGCCACAGTACCTCCCAGCAGTTAAGTTAGTTTATAAGGGTTCTTATTTATTCATCCTGAACTGTGTCCCCAGCCTGTTTTCTTTTTTATTTTGAGACAGTGTCTTGCTGAGTCACTGAGTTGCCCAGCCGAGCTCTAACTTACAGTCTCTTCTTGCCTCACGCTCCAGAGTGCTAGCACTATCGGCATGTACCACACATCAGCTTCTAAAGGTTCTTTATTTGACTGTTGGTCTTGGCCCACATGCGACAGAATCCATGCTGAAGTTCTGAAGTGAATCATCCTACCTTCCCTTCCCAAATAGAGATGATCCTTTACTGCTACTCCCGGGCCCGGAGCCAGAGCTCACTGCCCTTTAACACAGTGCTGTTGGCTTAAAATAAGCAGATTTACCTTGAGGCCAAGACAGAACTGCCATCTTGGAATTGCTGAAGCTCGGTGTAGGCGAGGCTTTTCACTACCTTGGAATTCCCCAGCATCTAGCCAAATGACTGATACATAGTAAACAGGCCATAAATGTTAACTGAATGAATTAATACTTTGACTTCTCTATAATTTTAACTTGATAATATATTTTTGTTTGTTTTATATGGAATTGACAATGTATTATAGAATCCTAGTGTTAGAAAGGCTACAGTAGGTGTTTTGTTTATTCAGTTAGATTCAATTAGTGATTGAATCATTTCAGACATATGAAATCTCTTGTTTTCAAAGGAAAATGTAATTAAAACTTTGTAACTTTAGTAACTGTAGTATTTAAGAGTCCTTGCTATGATAAAATCTCTCCTTATGGTGCAGTTTTCCTTGCCAATCTATCTTATAAAAGCAATACAATCATATTATAAAACAGTTGGAAATTCTTCAGGAAAGAAAAAATTTACAGTATAGAGTAATCTTAGCTTATTTACAGTTTATTATATTGATTTTCCACTTTAATGTTATATCATAGGGCTAGATGGTTTTGGGAAACAACCTAGAACAGCAAGTTTTCTTGGAAAGTAAGCATGGGATTGAACCTCAGCATTGTCATTTGCAAGTAGAATGAACTTGGGCAAGCGATTTAACCTCCTAAGTCTTTTCTGTTATTTATGAAAAGAACAACAACAATGCCGGGCTTAGTGGCACAAATCTAATATTAGTACCTGGGAGGCTGAGAGGCAGGCAGATTGCAAGTTCAAGCCCAGCCTGAGCAGTTTAACCTAGTGAGACCCTCCTCTTTCAAACTAAAAAGTAAAAAATGGGCTGGAGATGTAATTCAGTGTGAAGGCCCTGGTTTCAGTCTCCAGTACTGAAACCAGGAAGGAAGGATGGAAGGAAAGAAGAGAGGGAGGGAGGGAACAAAGGAGAGAGAGAAAGAAGGAGAGAGGAAGGAAAGAAAAGAAAAGGGAGAGGGAGAATGAAATAATGTCCATCTCAGAGCTTTTGCTTGAATGTTCTACAGAGTCTTGGCATGGAGTAAGAGTTTGGTGCTATTAGCTGCTGCCTTCCCAGTGCCACACATGGCAAGTAGCCATCATATGCTGGCACTGCTGTACCAATTGTTAGAATGACACCAGTTGGTAAAAAGTAATTGCCTGCCTCAAAACTCTTCCACAGCTTCTATACCCCCACCCTGTCGACACGCAAGTGTTATTAACACTTGGCATCACGCACTACACCCATTCTGATGAGTCATTGCTCATACCACCCTCTCTGCCAGTTACCCCTTGTTTTTGTTAGATTGACACAATTTACTTAGTCGTCACTCCATTGTACAGTTAGATTATAGCTAATTTTCTCACTGTAATGCTACTGTGGTAACTGTCATAAATATTTATGTCACAGAGGATGCTCATTTCCAGTTAATAGTTTTAGTGGCCACATGAAAACCTTCTTCTCTTTGACATCTGCATGTTTTGGAGGCAAATTATTGAACTCTTCTTCTTCTCCAGGTGGACTAATCTATACCTAATGCATAAACCATTTTTGTTTTTGTTTTCACTTGCCTTCTGAATTTACTTATTCTGTACATTGTTCTTTAGTTATGTGGGTAGACTTGGACCTAACTTCCTTAGTCAGACTCACAGGAGTGAAAAGTTTTTTCACAACTTTTTTCCCATCTTTTTGCCTTTCAGTATTGTGCTTAATTTAAGACAAAACGAAAACAATCAGTATCACTCTTTCTGTTCAATACCTACCACCATGTGACCCCTTTTCATTCTTTGTTCTTTTGAGACTCCTCTTTCCTAGCATATGCTTTACTAGAGGGCTATCTTATCTGTTTCTGATATATATTACAAAAGTTATTTTTCTTCATGTTGCACAGCAGTATTGTTTTAACCACAGTCTCTTTGAATATTAATTATCTCTTCCCTGCTGTGAAGAGAAATCTGATGTGTAGCTTCTTTCAGATTTTAAGTAGAAACCATAAATATGCCTTGTTGCTTCTTTAGCTGGGCCTGGTTGGCCAAAATGACTCACGTTATTGAACACACCAGCCAATGGCCACCTGTTGCTTTAGAAATGGAAAAGGGGAGAGAATAGTTTAATCAAATAGGTCCTTCATATGTTTCTGTAACCCAATTACAAATAAAACAAAAAACTACTAAATCCACTCTGAACATCAAAATAAATAAATTTTTAAAAATTCTTAGCCTGGCTTGGTGGCGCACCTGTAATACCAGCATTCAAGAGGCTGACATAGGCAGCCACAAGTTCAAGGCCAGCCTGGGCTACATAGTGCATTCAAAACTAGCTTAAACTACACAGTGAGCCCGTTTCAAAAAACCATAAATACATACATACACACACACACACACAAACACACTTTGAAGACTTCTGTTTTTAACAACATTGACTATATTATTTATTGGATTACCTTTGTCTACTAAATCTTATATGATCAAAGGTTTATTTAGGATGCAAATAAAAGATAGTTAATCATGTGACACCTGCTATATGTGGTAAAGTATGAAGGCTCACAGGAATAGATGGAGGTTGTCTCTGTTCTGGTTTAGGTTCTGAAAAACAATTGTTGAAGGATTTAGGAGATAGTAGACTCCTGAGGATATTAATGATTAGATAAAATTGGGAGAATATATTAATACTGTCAATTTAAAGAAATTATGTTTGGGTACCAGTATAAATTTTAATTCTCTGTTAAGTAATATTAGTTTGTATAATAGATTATAACATATATTTGTCTCTCACTTGCCATGTATGAAGTTTTAAAAAATAAACTACTTATACTTCAGATGATATTTTGATTTTTGGGAAGTAAAATATATTCTCCATCTTTTTGTTTGATGGTTTCCTGACTCTGACTTTTCAATGTAAGATCTACTTAATGATATAAATGGAAGCATTATTTTACACCAGAATTCTGTTCCTAATCACTGCAAAACTGGTAGTCATTCTTGGTTTTTATTTTCTGTTGAGTTGATCAAATTTTGAAGAGTAACAAGGGGATCTCTAAGAGATTTCACATACAAATTTATTCCATAATCAATGTTTTTTAGGATTTTGCTTGAGATTTTAAAAAAATAATGTAGTTGTACAGCAGTAGGAGTGCTGGTGGTGCAGAAAGTCAGCTTCAGCATCTGTGTGACAGCAGTGACACGCTCAGTTCAGTTCTCACTGTGATATATTATTAACCATGATTACATATTTAAGATGCAAGGTTAGCATGAATTACATTTGTAAAATACATTTTCCTGCTTTTTAAAAAAAGTTTAAGTGTATGATGTTTGCAGATTTCCTTTAATACAACATTTGCAGACTCTTGTCACTCCAAGCAAAATATGTAAGGATCTCAGACGCTTATATTCCTTCTGATTAAAAGTTGTGATGTTTAGTTGAATATCTTTATATATTTGTATTCTGTATTTTTTCACTTGTATTTTTAAAATTTCTATAGAAAACATGCATTTTTCTAATAAAAACAAAATATTAAAAACACAAGATGTCAGACAGTGAGTATACAAACTGAAATATTGGGAATTAAGTTTTATGTGACTTCAAAGTCTGCCATTTTTACCTGGCAGTTATTCAGGTCCATGATTCTTCTGGCACATTTTTTAAGGTCCATCCTCCTTATAGGAATTTTAGCTAGAAACCGTAATACATTTAGTTCTCCTTATTTATGATAGTTATGTTCTGTAAAATTGCCACAAACACTAAATTTATGAATACTAAACCATTATTTCTAGGGAAAGTACAGGGTTAATTTTCTGCAAGTCTCTGGTCACATTTGTCAACTGATCAATACATAAGCATGTTTTATGTACATTTCTATTCAAAGACATCATATATGCTTTGTTAAAGTTGAGCTTATGGCCAATAGCACTATAACTTTTGCCCAAATGAAGCTTGTCTAACAAAAGTATTTCCTCTGTGAGGCATATCAAAGTTTTCTTGTGCTTAGAAACACTGAATAGCATGTCAGCACTACACAGGGAGGCCATTTTAAACAGCAAAATCACTAGTAAAAAGTGCAAAAATGTGAAAACATGATACTAAATAGGCCATGATAAGGATACTTGTTTACAGCATAAAAGCTGAAACAAGAAGACAGAGCATCCTTATTTGACCTCAGCTGGGAATGTATGCATTGAGTGACTCAGGTTTTTTGTTACCTCTTGTAGGTCTGCAAACAACTGTTAAATAACCATGGGTATTGGTTTCAGGGTCACAAATGAATTTAAGCACATAAGCAAATTCACAAATACAGAATGTGTGAATAGTGGGGATCAACTACATAAACTTTCCCAATTAGTGAAAAACTACAAAACTTTTTGCTTTTATGTTACACTTTATAGTGGTTTAATCATGGCAAAATAGAATATAAGGAATAGAGAGAATGGGTAGAGGTTGAAAGAGTTTTGAGGTGCTTGCTAGAAAAAGCCTAGATTTCTGTGAATGAAATTTTAAAGATAATTCTATTGAGGACTTGGGAAAAAAAAAGAGCTGTAGAAAAAGCTCCTCTTAAAAAATATCTAAGTAACCCAAGACAGTGTGTTAGTAAAACTATGAGCAAAAGACCTAATTGATGAGGTTTTAGAAATGGGGCACACATTTTTGGTCAATGGGGAAAAAAAATCTATATTATGAAGTGGTGAAGAAGTTGGCTGAATTGTGTTTGTGTTTTTGTGTTACTTAGAAGGTAAAATTTACAAGTGTTGAAATTGGAAATTTAAACTGGTCATGGTAGCACATGCCTGTAATCCCAACATTTGGGAGGCTGAGACAGGAAGAACACTGCGAGTTTGAGGCCAGCCTGGATTACATAATAAGTTCAAGGGCAGCCTGACCCATCTCAAAAAATAAATAAATAAATACAGAGAGAATGAAATTGGAAATTTAAACCAGCCTTGGTGGTGGATGGCTGTAATCCCAGCACAAAGCTAAGGCAGAAAGATCACAAATTCAAGCCCAGATATTTAGCAATTTGGTGAGATCCTGTCTCAAAATAAAAAAGGTTTAGAGACATTGCTTGGTATAGAACAGTAGTTAGTACTTCAAAAAGAGAAATTGGAAATTTGGTTGAAGAGATTTCTAATCAAGTGTTGAAGTTGCAGCCTGGCTCCTCCTGTTAGTAAAATGAAAAAAGAGAAATTACTTGAAGACAGAGCTGTTAAGCAAAAGAAATACAGAACTTAAAAGTTCTCAGTCTACCCACTTCACAAAAGTTGTGAACACTAAGGATGGGGTCAAGAGACCATTTGATAAACAGGTTAGAATGCGTGTAAGCCACAAATGTAATTAACCACCTAGCAGGAGGGCTGCCAGTTTGAATTTAAGTGGAAGGAAACAGAAAGAAATGGAAAGAGCCACTGAGCTACATCCCTATCCCCAAGTGACCACATTTCTTGAGTTTGATGGTATAGGACCACTGTAAATATGTACTTTTCTTCAAGACAAGGGAATAATGGTCCCCAAAGCAATTCAGGGATTATCAAAGCTGCCTCCTCAGTTTCAAAATGGAGGAAAGAAGCAGCGCCTTGCTTTTAATAAGCAAATGGCTCCCACCCAAATGTGGGTGCAAGGCCACCCAGAGTTTGGGCATCCAGCCCCTGCCTGGCAAAGCTGCAGAGGCAGAGCCACCAACTTAATGTATCTGGAGGACAGATCCTTGAATCATTGAGGATTATTCTCGTGCCTTAATAATGTCTTATAGAATTTGCCCTGGAATTTAGACTCTCTTAAGATCCCCTTTCTTCTTTTCCATTTCTCCCTTTTAGAATGGAAATATCTATCCCATGCCTGACTTATCGTTGTATTTTGGAAGCCCATAGCTTGTTTGGTTTCACAGGTTCACAGCTAGAGAGGAGGTTGCTTCAGGATAAATCATTTCTTGAGTCTCAATAATGTCTGATTCAGATGATATTCAGACCACACTTTAGATTTTAGTTTTCAAAGTTATATTAGAATGAGTTAAGACTTTAGGGGCTGTTGGAACATAGTGAATCTTGCATGTGAGAAGGACATGAGTTTTGTGAGAGCGGGGGCAGAATGCTGTAGACTGAATGTTTATATCCCCCTCAGATTCATATGTTAGAATTCACTGTGATGGTTTTAGTGAAGTCTTTGGTATGTGATTACAACATGAGAGCAGAGCCCTCATAAAATGATATCAGTGCCATTATAAAAGAGAACCAGGTGAACTCCCTTGGCCTTTCTGTCTTTTAAGGTTTCAGTGACAAGATAGCAATTTGTGAGTCAGGAAATGGGCACTCGCCAGACACCAAATCTGCCAGTTCCCTGCTCTTGGATTTCCCAGCCTCTAGAACTGTGAGAAATAAAAATCTATTGTTTGTACACCACCAAGTCAGAGGTATTCTGTTGTTGCAGCCCAAATGAATCAATACACATGTATTTGCATTTTAGCATTATTGTCTTAAATTGTAAACATGTGCAAATTCACATTCATATTTACACCACAAATATACATAGAAGTGACATTTTTGGAAAATTTTAGGTGATATTAGGATTGATACATAGAATTGTTATTAAAAAGACATTTCTAAAACAGATGATCTCAATTATTAGCTTATCACTTGGCTGATATTCATAATTCTATTAGTTATCATAAGGAGTTTGAAGCGTAGATTTAGTTTTCAAGATGTTTTACTGATTTCCTCTTCATAATGAATATCATATGCATGTGTATACTGATAGAAAAATAAAGTCAAAGCCCTGTATTAAAATGCTGTGTATATCTAGGGCAAAAGCATACTTGAAAGAATCCTACTTACCTCCCAGCAGGTGATACAAGTGTGTTTTCTACATTTGTTTAACTGGCTAAAGTACCAGAGTTTTGCTGCAGCTGATTTTTTTATTCTTCTTATGTTACTTTTTCTGAAGGGGAGGAATATGTTTGCTGTGCCAAGTTCTTAAAAAGCACACAGCCTTACCAATGGTTTTGCTGAGTTCCTTGGGGATGTCATGAGGAAGGGAGATTTCAAGCTGCTGCAACTCCTTGGAAGTCTCTGGTGTGAGACCCACAGAGGGAATTGTTGATGCACATCTTTTGCTGGCTGTCAGGAAGATAAGAACTAGTCTTGTACTCCAAAGCCAAAGATAAGGCAATATAGGAATCTTTTGGGCAGCACCCAAACCCTATTTTGTTTATCTAGGAATTTACTCTTTGTGCAGAGAGGCGAGGAGTCATTCAGACAACTTGAAGATGTGTAATTCGCTTTGGCGTCCTATCAGGGTCCTGTACAGACAGGCACCAACATGTCCCTCCTGTCTCCAGCTTCTTCTTAGCTAATCTCTATTGCCAGATCACAAACTCTAGTAAGAGAGAGAGGAAAAAACAGGTTATAAGAAAACAAGCTCACAAATAGTTGAACGTAGTCTCTAGTTTAGGGGTAAGAATTAAGAGAATTGGGCTGTGGTTTCAATTTTGTCTTTAATTAACTATTTGACTTTTGATAAGTTTTCTACCCCTTGCAACTTCTGTGTCCTAAGGGAGTTGGACAAGATATTCTCCTCAGTTCCTTATATCTCTCATGTTTTATTCTTTTTTTGTTTTGTTTTGTTTTTTTGAGACAGTGTCTCACTATGTAGTTGACTGACCTGTCCTAAGGGAGTTGGACAAGATATTCTCCTCAGTTCCTTATATCTCTCATGTTTTATTCTTTTTTTGTTTTGTTTTGTTTTTTTGAGACAGTGTCTCACTATGTAGTTGAGACTGACCTGAAACTCACTGTGTAGCCCAGGCTGGTCTCTAACTCACAGCAATCCTCCTGCCTCAGCCTCCCGAATGCTGGGATTAACAGGCATGCGCCACCGTGCCTGGCTTTGTGTTTTATCATTCTTGATTCTATATTGAAGCTGCTATTGAGATTTTATATGATCCTTTTAAGGCATAAGTTTTATCAGGGAAGACTTACACGTTGTCTTTATCACTGGACAACTACTGCAGCGCACAGTGGTCTTCACTGGTGGATACTTAAATTGAATAGATATTAAGATTCAGCACTCCGTGTCATGCTTGGGGGGAGGATAGGGAGAGAAAGCGGAAGTAAAAAGTTTTAAGATGTGTTATGTACATGTACCAATTTCCCACAATGAATCTTCTGTAAACATGTACTAATAAAAATTTTTTAAATAAAAATAATTTTTAAAAAGAGCAATATGTAATAGTAACCCTTTCAGAGTAGATAATTGCTAATATTTAACTATTATTTCATAAAATCGAAACATGGGTTAAAATACCTCTCAAAGATGTTGTTGGAATGAACTTTTTGAGAAAAGTGAGAAACCAAGAGCTGAGGTTGGTAGTTTGTTTTTCCTAGTTGTATTTTGTGTGCTATATACATTAAAAACTTGTTCCTAGGGATGATAATTTATAGCCGGAAAAACTTCAAGACTTTTTAATTTAACTTATAGCTGTATCATAAGTATGATGAATGAATGGGTTAGTTAAGAGCCTTTAGCTTCATTTAGTTGAGCTCCCGACTCAATCTGGCTTGAGTTTTACCTCATTGGTTCAACCTAGTCACTCCTCCTTCCTGAGCCAATCACTAGGGGAGCATAGAGATTTCCCCAGACTAATCAGGCCTTCACCAGAAAAGGTCATGAAAAGAGGGAATAGAAGGTCAGTAGGAATCCAACATTATACATGACTAATGTACGTAAAATTTACCTCTTTTTTTTTTCTTCTCTTCAGTGAAGACTATGGAAAAAACTTTAAGGATATTACAAATCTCATCAATAACACCTTCATTCGTACTGAATTTGGCATGGCTATTGGTCCTGAAAATTCTGGAAAGGTGAGACTCCTACTCACGGAAAGCTGGTGTTCAATGGCACACGCAGTGCTGCCGGATGTTACTCCAGTGATGCAAAGTATTGTATTTTAGTTTATACTACTGCTATATTTGAAAATTAAATCTAGTTTATTTAATACTGATCACAAAAGAATGGAATTCAGCACACAGAGTTTTGGTTTTGGTTCCTCCTGGCCAAGATGTACCAAAAACCTTCATACTTACAGGACAGTTGTTTAGCATTACAATATGTAGTCCCTGTGACAACATTTTAGTCTTCTTGGAAACTGACCAGGCTCAAAATTGCAAGTATGATTCACTAGCCCAATTCAGGATGATATATTTTGATAAGACCAAGACGTGAGTAGAGTGAAGCAACTTATCTGTGTAACTCTTCTTACTTTTGGAACTAAAATTTTCATGACTAATATCTGATAAAAATGGAGCAAGAACTTTCTGTGCTGAATGTGATCTTTCTTCTTTCTAATCAGGTAATATTAACAGCAGAGGTATCTGGAGGAAGTCATGGAGGAAGAATCTTCAGGTCATCAGATTTTGCAAAGAATTTTATACAGACAGATCTCCCTTTTCATCCTCTGACTCAGATGATGTATAGCCCTCAGAATTCTGATTATCTTTTAGCCCTCAGCACTGAAGTAAGTCTAGTTGAGGAATTTGACTTGCCTTTTATTTACTTATAGTCTTAAATATATTGTCTTAAAAGGATTCTGTAGAGAATGCTTTTATATTGGCCTTCTCTCCAGTCTCCTTACACATGAAGTTTTTTTTGTTTTTTTTTTTTTCATTTTTCCCCCATTTGGTAAAGGTTAGAATTTCTGTATGCTCGCTATTCCAGGTAAGTATGAGGTATAGTTGTTGTAATTTTTTAAAGTTAATAGTTGTATAGGGCCAGGGATTTAGCTCCGTGGTTCTGGCGCCTACCTCGCAAGCACAAGGGCCAGAGCCAGGGGTTTAGCTCAGTGGTTCTGCCGCCTGCCACGCAAGCACAGGACCTGAGTTCAATCCCCAGTACCAAAAATAAATAAAATAAAGTTAATAGTTGTGTGCTGTTGGAGTAATGAGGTAGAAAACAGTTTTAAGTAATCATTCATGGGGCAAATATAAATTGTCAAATTCCTAATATTGTTATTGTTCCTTTCCCATGACCAAACCATCTTTATTTTTTCTTTTCTGGGAATTCCTCAGTATATAAAGCATATTGATTTCTGTCTTTGATAATCATGTATTAGATATCCACAATCTCAAATCCCTGCACTAGTCACCACATTCCTGTACTTTCCCCAGAAGTTTGTGTCCTTCCCAAACTATATTGCATCTGTACAAGTTCCTCAAGGAACACATTTGGCTTTTCATTTTCTGGAGGGTCAGTCTCCTATTATGGAGTTAGGAGCCCAGTGTACCTGTGTGGCTAGACCGTGATAGTCACAACTATCCTTTATGTTTGTGGCTTTTCTCATGAAGATTCTTAGTGTGGTCTGCTAAGAAGCAGCATCAAAATAGAAATTACTTAAGAAGCTAGTGGAAATGCAGTTCCCTAGGTCCCAATACTGATATAATGAATCAGTCATTTCTGTGTACAGGAGCTATGCTTTTAACAAGCTGCCCACGTGTTTGAAAGCCATTATTGTACAGACATTTTTGGAGACAGAAACAAGACCACCAACTGTGGACCAGTCAGGCCAAGCAGATGGGGCATAGGGAGGGTGAAGGGCATGGGAAGAGAGGTCTTGGGAAGATGTTTGAGCAGAGGTGTGGCTGGGGACACCACAGTTTATGCCTAGCCAGTGGAGACCAGAGGAAGGAAACTAGCTTGCAGAAGGGCGAGGTGGAGAGGGCCTGCTGACAGGTGGTGTTCAGATCTTAGAGAAATTAGCCCCTAGAAGTTTGAGCTGAAGGCCCTACGAAGGAAGCTAGGTGATCTCTACAGAAATGAACAAAACCATATATCTCCCCTTTGACCCCCTCATCTCCATTATCAAGTATCTTAAGGGTGTTAAAATAAGGCTACCTTCAACAGTGGACAAGTACAATCCTATAATCTGCTCTTTTACCTGAAAATTTCTTTTGATTAAGGGTAAATTTGAAGTATAAATAATTGGGATGGAGAAATGGACCAATTTAGACTAAAGTACAAATAAATGATACCAGACCCTTTCTTGTGCTTGTACATAGAACTAGGTAATTTACAAAGGGTGGGATAAAGGATATTGCCAGAGAAGAGGAAGTTGGAGGAGAATGGTGGGTGAGAATGGGTGAACGCTGTGGAGTAATCCTGCCTAGAATGTGCAGATAAGTGCCAATATAATTGACATTTTTCGGTCTTCATGTTAAGTCTGCTGCATTTCAAAGCATTGGCCAGTCCCCTCCTTTGGGGAACTCCACTTGCTTGGCTCTGTGACATCAATCACTTTGTTTATTCTGCCTTCCTGGCCATTCTTTTTTGGTCTCTTAAACTCCTTTCAATTTGCCCTTTAAATGACTACTTGTTCATTTCTTTCTGATCAGTCTCTTTCACTCTTACTTTTTACCACTTAAACAATGTAAGATTCTCAAATCCTCTCTTGCCCCAGCTTCCTGTAAGGCATCAAATTGCTTATCTCACTGCACCATGGATATCTCTTAACTGGATTCCCTATAGGTACCTCGAACTCAATCCAAAACTCAACCTCCTATTCCTGCTCTTCTCTCAGACATGCTCTTCTTCCCCAAACCTTACTCTAGTGGGTGCATCATTGTGTATCTTATACTCCAGTACAAAACCAAGAGAAACTGAGACACACATACAACCCATCCATCCTGCCCTACCGAAAAGTCATCCACTTGTATCTAAATTCTTGCTGATCCTATTCCTCAAAGCCACAATCCAAGACCTCATTAACTCTTACTGAACTAATATGGCACTTATTCACTAGCTGTCCTAGTTAGGACACTGACTAGTTCAGACTTCCTTATTCTCATATAAGCACAGCAACTGAAAAATTAAAACTGTTTCATTCCCCATTTTGGACCACCTTCCTGAGTATCCCTTTTATATGGTAAAAGCTGGACCCCGCAGCCTGGCCTTGAAGGAAGGCTTTCTACCTTACCCTTCTCCCAAGCATTAACTCCACATCTCTTCACCTTAGAACTTGCGCTCCAGTAACGTCTGGTGTATTTTATCTCCTGGCAGACATGATAGTATTTTATAGTCACCCTGCCTGTGCTAGTACTGGTCCTTCTTTGTAGCAACTCATCTCCTGCTTGCCTTCTTTTGGTTGCATTGCTCATCATCTGAGGGTGGTGCAGCTGTCTTCTTCAGGACACAAATGACCTCCTCTCCCGACGTCTGTACTAGACTCTTTCCATAACGCATATCACATGGTATTGAACTTTCTTATCTGTGGCCCTTGTTAAACTGTGAGATCCTTAAGAGCAGGATGTATGTCTTATTCATCTTTGTATCCCCAGTGCAACATCTGGTACAGTGCCTGGCATATAGTTGGCACTTTATATGCATTTATTATTCTGAACTTCAGAGATCCTGAAGGGGCCCAAATAAACTGTGTGTGTGCTGTGAAGCTCAGGCTCTGATAGAACCTCAGTATGTGTTTTTACAGTCCTGAACGTTTGCATATGAATTATTAAAGGTCAGACAAGCAGCTGCACAGGATAAAGCTAGAATTTTGATAAGTCATTTATAATCTTTCAGAATGGCCTGTGGGTGTCCAAGAATTTTGGGGGAAAATGGGAAGAAATCCACAAAGCAGTATGTTTGGCCAAATGGTGAGTAACAGAAGACTCCATCTGTGCAGAGCCCTAAACCTTTCCTTATAGTACTGCCAAAAGTCTCATGAATAAATATTGAGCACATACTATGTGCCAAGTACTTACTCTTCAGGGTTCCACAAGGGATACGAGAGAGTTCTTGACCTGGAGGAACTTATGCTGGAAAAGAAGAGTTAGAATGCAACAAAGGCATCTGACCAAGTAGCTGCTGCCTACAAAAGATTTCTTCCGTGTATCTGGTGACATCAGTCCAAACATAACAAAATACAGCTTTAATTTGAGGATTTAAATATGTCTGTCCACCAAGATTTACACTCTTTTGTCTAGCAATCCACTTCAGTTATGTAGGATATAGTAAGGAATCAGAAAGAAAACTGAAAGAGTTTCTAGATTGCCAGAGTCACACTGTCCACACACCAAAACTCACTTCTCTGGTCAGGATGCCTGTCCCCGTCAGATGCATGCATGAAGATGATGGAGTGAAGGGAGCTCTAACTTGTGAGCTGGTCCACTTGGTTCTGACCTGGCTCTGCTGCTGGTCAGTAGCTTAATCTCTCTGGGCTTTAGTTTTTCTATCTGTGATTAGGTATGTGAGGAAGTGGTTGGACAAGAATTGAATTCATAGCTTTCATACCTCCAAAATTCTTACAAGGTTCAGACCTTTGTTCTTTTTTTCTTTCACTAATTTAACAAATGTGATTTCCTGGTTTATAGCAGATTTCTGCCAGAGATAAGTTCTGTAGCTGCTATCAACAAACACATCACAGCATTAGAATTGTAGCCTGAGAGCTGGAAGGAGGCAGAAAAATTATAAAAGAACAAAACAAAAAAATTTGAGGATATAACAGTGTGAAATTACTTAGTGCTAAAGAAAGGACACATCCTTCAGTAAGTTGTAATAGGAACACTGTTGTGCTTTCATATACTCAGTGTTCATGATGATGACCTATAAATGTACAAGTTTGATGTGTTCCTCTTAGGGAATCAGGAAATATATAATACAGATTTGAACTTAAAATATTAAATATGTTACTTAAATGAGGTGAACTTTTTCCAGATATGTTCATTAAATGAAGTTTTCACAATATCCCTGTGGCATACATGCCATATCTTCTTTCATTTTATGTATTTTCATTAATTATATTTGCACCATGTAAGGTCTTATCAAGAAGGAAGTAATTTTTAAGGTGACTAAGTTAACAAATCATTTCACTGTTGATGAAGCTAAAATATGTAGGATGTGTTGAAGTAAGACAATGGTAATTTTGATTATTAAAATTCTCCTTTAAAAATGAAAATTATTAGCTGGGCGTGGTGGCACACGCCTGTGATCTCAACACTCAGGAGGCTGAGGCAGGAGGATCACTGTTAGTTCGAGACCAACCTAGGCTACATAGTGAGTTCCAGGTCAGTCTCAACTACATAGTGAGACCCTGTCTCAAAAGCCAAAAAAAAAAAAGTCAACTAATCTAAATAATAACTATCTGGTGCTAAAACTTCATTCACCTATAATCATGTTTGACAGAATTTGCAAATCAGTAGTGTAAATTTGAGGTAAAAAAAAAAAAACAAAAAAAAAAAACTATTTTCAAATACCATTTTATTTTATATCCTACACAAGGTTTTTTATTTTTATAATACTATATTACTTTGCACTGAATATAGCTGGACTAGTGATAACTCTTTACTCACCTTTTAGATCTTTGATTTCTAGGAATTTATAACCTAAAGTACTGAAGGAACATGCTCAAACCCAGCACCTAAGCACTATCAGGATCTGAATCTTGTCCCCTGAAAACTCCCTTTCTTGATTATGTTTTAAATAATTCAATTTCTGACCTAGTTGTCCATTTGAGATGAAAGAACTAAATTATTTAGGTTGTACAAAGCATTAAGCAGGCTGGGGATTTAGCTCAGTGGTGCCACTGTCTGCCTCACAAGCGCAAGGTCCCGAGTTCAATCCCTGGTACCCGCCCCCCATAAAAAAGAAAAAAAGCATTAAGGTACATTCTGAGGCAAAACAATGTACCTGACATGAAGAATACAATTAGTGTGGTAGGAGAGATGGGTCACACACTATGCAAAATAACTAAATGGGAGACTGGTGAATGCCAAGTGGCTATTACAGAAAGAAATTGCTCCACGGCAGGGTTTCTCAGCCTCATCACTAACAACACATTGGGCTGGATAACCTGTTTTGAGGGGCTGTTCTGAACATTGTAAGATGTTTAGCAGCATCGTTGGCCTGTACCCTCTAGATGCTACTAACAACTCCCACCTGTCCCAGTTGTGACAACCAGAAATGTCTCCCGAGATTGCCAGATGTTCCCTGGAAGGCAGAATCGCCCCCACTTGAGAAACCACTTTTCTAGAAGTTTGTAGCATAGAAGCGTTCATTAAAATGGCTAATGAGTGCTTCACAGGAAAGCTAGATTTTAAGCTGGAACAGGAAGATTATGAGAGTACAATTTAGTTAAGTGAGAGAAAAGCATTTTGGGGTGGGGGAGTACAATACGCAAGGCAGATTTGGAGACCAGCGTGACTGGTTGGAAGAGTTCACATAATGAAGCAAGCAGTGGCCTGTGGAAAATGCATGGGTTCAGGCTGCATTTGCAGACTGATAGGCCACGGGAGAATCCAGTACACAGCTCCAGAGAAGGCTGTCACTTGGTACCAACGGATGAGGCTTGTTAGACATGCCAGGGTCTTGGTGACCAAGGGTGACACATTCTGAAGCAATCTTAAACCATTCTTTTCCCTATCTTTACTGCTTTGTAGGGGATCAGAAAATATCATCTTCTTTACCACCTATGTGAATGGCTCCTGCAGTAAGTACATTTTAGTTCCAGAAAATATTTACCATGGGGGTTCTGGGTGATGCAAGGTGGAAACAACAGATCATTTCCTCTTCTGAAATTGTAATGACTAAAGATACCTGTTAATGATATTTGAAATCTTGAAAGTCCAACTGAATTACTACTCCAGACCCAATAAAAATATAGGTTATTCATGGATGCAGTGTACTTAATTTTAGCAATGTACTTATATAAAGCAAATATTAGGCTAATAGTGAATTAAAAGGTATGATGATTTCTTCAAGAGCATGAATTTTGTTTTGTGTTGGTGGAGCCATTGGCTTCCCAGTCTGTGAGGTTTCAAAGCAAAATCTTTCATTATTCATGCAACAAATGTCTGGATACTTGCTATGTGCTAAACACTGTTCTAAGGATGGAGAAAAACACTCAAGGCTTGCTGTCATGGGACATAAATTCACATAGGGGTGTTTGATGATAAACAAGAAAACAAAAATTCAAACAAGATGATTTAAAATAGAATAAGAGGCCGGGCATGGTGGCTCACGCCTATAATCTCAGCACTCAGGAGGCTGAGGCAGGAGGATCATAGCGATCCCGCTATAAGTTCGAGACCAGCCTGGACTACATAGTGAGTTCCAGGTTAGTCTCAACTACATAGTGAGACCCTGTCTCAAAAAACAAACAAACAAACAAAAAAAGAATAAGATAATTTTAAAGTGTACCATGAAGAAAGGAAAGTAATATTCTGTGGCTGTGCTGTTTTTATGCAACACTATATTGGAATTAAGAGAACTCATCTTTCTCTCCAGAATAAAATCTCACATTTTTAAAATAAAACCCAAATATGAATTCCCTATATCTGATACTATCTTGATCAACATACAAAGGATTAAGAATGTGTTTGCATAAAATTAAGAGCAATTCTTAAGCAACTGTTTTGAACTAGACTTATCAATAAATGAGATTTTAATTAATATTTGGTTTTGTTTAAGAAGCTGACCTTGGAGCACTGGAATTATGGAGAACTTCAGACTTAGGGAAAACCTTCAAAACCATTGGTGTGAAAATCTACTCATTCGGTCTTGGAGGACGCTTCCTTTTTGCCTCTGTGATGGCCGATAAGGTGAGTAGTGGCCCCTTTTCTCTGGGGTGTCATATCTCTGTAGATGTGCTTTATATAGATCCCTTTTACTGCTTAATACTGACAGAGTTTCTTGTCTTTTTGCAATATTCAATATCACTATAAGGTTTACTTTACAGAGGCTTTACAGCTTAACCCTCATGGTTATTTTGCCCTGTGGCCTTTTGTCACCATGTAAATTCTGGTCTTGTATTTTCGATTTGAGACCCAGAATTAGGGCTTTGATATCTGGGAAAAAAAGCAAACTACTTGAGCAGTGTCAAATAATAGTAATAAAAATCAAAATAGGTAACAAAATTACTTCTATATACTTCCTATTATTCTAGGTCCCTGAAATATAGCAGTGAACAAAATAGATAAATTTCCTGCTTTCGGGGCTTATTTTCAAATGGGAAAATAGATACTAAGTAAATAGATATGAAGTAAACAAATAGTGATAAAGCTGTTCAGCAGTCTAAAGCAGTGTAGGAAACCAAACCATAGAAATCGGGGCAATGCCGACAGAGACAGGGTGGTTGGGTGGGCTCTCAGAGACCTGGTGGAGTGAGAGCATGACCTTGTGGACACCCTGGGAACAGGCTGAGGACCAGCCAACACAGACAGACCCTGGCTGGCAGTGTCCATCTGCTGAAGAAAAGGAGAGAAGGGCAGCGTGGCTGGAGCACGGGAGAACGTTCAGGCGTGAACCAGAAAGGGAACGAGCCCCCAGATCATACAAGGCCTTTCTAGATCACATAAAGACACCGGACTTTACTTTTTATGTTTACTCTGTTATGTGCCGTGAGTAGAGGTGTGATGTGCTTGGGCTTCCCTTTTAACAGAATGTGTATGCGCAGATAGCCTGAGAAAGGAGAGAATAGAAGCAGCAAAGGCAGCTCGGAGGCTACTGCAGTGGCCAAGTAGGAGTGGGCTGTAAACAGTTGGCGAGGGCAGCAGTAGTGAGATTGTAGGTATCTTTTCAAATATTTCACCCATAGGACTTGCTGACGGATTGAATGTGAACTGTGGGCTGAGTGTGGTAGTGCATGTCTGCAATCCCAACCTTCATGAGGCTGAGGCAGGAGGATTGCAAGTTCAAAGTCAGTCTGAACTACATAGCAAGACCCTGTCTCAAAAAAAAAAAAAGTGTGCCATGCGATGATAAGTGAAAGGATAATTTTAGAGTCTTTGGCCTGAGATGTTGGATAGTTGGAATTGCCCTTTTCTGAGATGACAGAGACTGCAGGAGGGGTAGGGTTTTGGGAAAAAAAATCAAGAATTCAGAATTGGGTGAGAGATGCCTGTTGGATATCTAAGAGGAGATGTCAAGTAAGCATTTGGATATATAAATCTCATAAAATTATGTGATATTTAAAACCATGAGACAAGATGTTCTCTTCCAGAGAAATGAGTAGGTAGAGGAGAGATAAGAGGATTAGGGAAGCCCTGAAGGCACCACAACACCCCAAGTTGAAAAGAGAAGAATCTAGCAAAGACTAGGAGGGGAGAGATCAGTGGGGTTAAGGGAAATCAGACCAGTGTGATACCACAAAAGAAAAGGGAAGAAAGTGTTTCAGGAGGAGGAAGTGATCAGCTTTGGTAAACTCAAGTGAGTTGAGTTAGATGAGTTTTGAGAATTTCCTGTGGGTGCTGGCAAATTGAGGTTGTTAGTGACCTTAACAAAAACAGTGTCATTGGAGTAGTGAGGTTAAAAGACTAATTGCAGTGGCTTTGGATAGAATTGAGATGAGGAAGCCGGGTGTGGTGGTGCACGCCTGTAATCCCAGCACTTGGGAAGCTGAGGCAGGAGGATCGCTGTGAGTTCCTGGGCTACAAAGTGAGTTCCAGGTCAGTCTCAACTACATAGTGAGACCCTGTTTCAAAAAACAAAAACAAAAAACAAACAAACAAACAAACAAAAACCCCAACAAAAACTGAGATGAGGAAATAGCACAGTAAGCAGGGACATCTCAAGGGATTTTGTAATAATCCTCCCAACAATCCTGTAAGACAATTCTTTAATATTAATTTTATAAATGAAGAAGTTGAGTGACTTATCTAGGGTCACCCAGTGGTGGTACCTGGTGCCCTAGTGGAAATCAGACTCTCAGATTCCACAGGCAGCCTCCTTAGCCTTCTGTGCTACTATTTATAAAACATTTCTGCCAAGTGTTTTTGAATTCTAGTTTCTTCCTCAAGTAGTGAGAATAAGATACAAAAGCAGTTAGATATCACAGTATAAGTTAAGTAAATAAATATTCTTATCATTGAACTTTAAAGAGTATTTATCCTAAAGAAGCCAGAGATTAATTCTCATGCCCTGGCTAACTGTATTTGGTAGTTCTTTTAAACTATTTATCAATCCAGGTGTGTTGACACATACCTGTAATTGAGAACGATGGTCAGTTTGAGGCCAGCCTGGGCTACAGAGCAAGTCTGAAGACCAGTCTGGATGTAATAGTAAGACCCTCTCTCAAAAACAAAAAGTATTTATCAGAGAGCAGGCTTTAATTGCCTTTGTATTATACCTGTTACCAACCTAATACTCTCTGATCATTTCCTTGTGGTAATTCAGACTCTTGCTTGGCCTGTTCCCAGCCTATGCATGTTTCCTTCATTGTGGCTATTCTGTGAGGTCCTCAAAGGCATGTCACATTTTTACTTCTCTGTGATATCTCAAGCATGGGTTTCATCTCCATTTTCTAATTTCCTTAATTGCCTAATTATTTGGGCTATGAGAGGGCTGTCTGAAAGGGACCAAACTTTTATTCAGCAGTGATCATTTTTAGAATTATCTGAGTAAATATATGCAAATAACTGTACAGCTAAAATAATTATAGTCCCATCAGATCCTTAGCTCTGCTGAAGGAGATGGGCTATCAGAGATTTAGAGGATCATCAGAATGAAGGAACCAAAGAGAAAGCCAAGACAGCTTTACTTCTAATAGAATGGATTGTTCCATAGCCTGGGAGGGGTTAGAAATTGCTTTGATAATTGATAGCATGACCTTTCTCGCAATTGTACCCACTGGGGAAATAAACAATAGTAACTATTAAAGATGTTTCTGTTCATGTCCCTACACATGGCACTTGACAGAAAATTTAAGGTGGATGTTGACATATTTTTCTAGGATACAACAAGAAGGATCCACGTGTCAACAGATCAAGGGGACACGTGGAGCATGGCCCAACTTCCTTCTGTGGGACAGGAACAATTCTATTCCATTCTGGCAGCTAATGATGACATGGTGTTCATGCATGTAGATGAACCTGGAGGTAAGAGTCTTTTAGTCTTTGAATGCCTGGAGATTTAAGCTTTAAGCCCTGCGATAAGAAGCTTTCCTTTTTATATGTCAACTTTTCCTATCACTCCTAGACATTAATGTCCTACTGATCATAAAGATGATATGTTGCCTCTTTAGTTTTTAGTCTTGCTTTGTACTTCAGGCTGGCCTTGAACTGACTATATAGCCCAGGCTGACCTCAAACTTGTGCCAATGCTCCTGCCTCAGGCTCCCAAATGCTGGGATTACATGCCTGGCTGTGTTGACTCTTTAAAAGGCCAACTTGTATTGATAGTTGCTGTGGTTTATGTATTCTAGAACAAGTGTTTCAGCAGTGAGCTGCTCAGAATTGTCTGCAGTATTAGCAGGACTGGTATTGATTTACAGTTATCAGGAAAGGAATTCAGAGCACTGAGAAACTCTTAGCCATTTGACAAAGTAATCTTATATCTGTTGAATCTAATGATAATAAATTGAAGGCATATGTTTTGTTTATCTTTTCTATTTCATTTTTCTAGTGATTATTTTATAAAAGCATCAGTTTATGACATACTGGAAATAAAAACATTGACCCTTCACTACGGATAGTTTAGAAACATTGTCTAGAGTATAAAGATTTAGAAATGTGTAAAATATGAATCTAAATACAGTGCCTCTACCAGCAAAATCTATCTGGGAAGACCTTTTTGGTGGCATCTGAGTAATTCATTCAACATGCAGCATTTCCCATATTTCAGACACTAGAACTAAAGTCGGGCATGAAGATTTTGAATATCAAACCTTGATGAACTCTTGACTGAATCTCCACCATTGGAGACAGCTGTTTGGGTGAACGATCTGGGCCGGTCAGTCATGTGTATAGCTGAACTGTTGTTTTTTTCTATTCCTTACCAAAGCTTGGGTTGTTTGTTTGCCCATTTCAGATACTGGATTTGGCACAATCTTTACCTCTGACGATCGAGGCATTGTCTATTCCAAGTCTTTGGACCGACATCTCTACACTACCCCAGGTGGAGAAACAGACTTTACCAATGTAACCTCCCTCCGTGGGGTCTACATAACAAGCATGCTCTCAGAAGGTGAGTTTTGCCACAGCTGTCCTGCTCTGCTCCTTTAGCTCAGTGTTAAGATTTGAGGCCTGTGGGGAGCCTGATGGCCCTGTGCTCCAGTAATATGTTTGCCTAGCCAGCGAGCCTACCCATGTATATTCTGGCTCCCTATTTTAAATAAGTTATGGTAACCAGCCCTAGGAAAGAGGAAAGCAATGGCAGGTAAAAAGAAAAATGTTTTAGAGTCAGTGTTGCTTACTTTGTGAGTCTTCCATTAGGAGGTTTAGGCTGATGGGAATGAGCCTGAAGTTTTCTAGAGGGCGTAGCAATAACCAGCCAAGATTCTTCTAAAGTTCTGTTCCATGACTCTAGGGCTTACCTCTGCTAAGGCACAGATATGCAAATAAACAGTCTTGATTGATTGGAAATAGGATGTTTGTTTTTATTTTGTAAACTCCTTGCAGTGGCCTACAAGGTATTAAGTGACACTGGCTCCCTGTTTCTTCCCTGACATTACCTCCAACACTTCTCTCTTCCATGTGCTCTGCACCTCTCACACTAATCCCCTTCCAGGCCTAAACACGTCAGGCGCATGCACTCCACGGTTACAGATTTGCACTGCCAGCTCTCTCTGTATCCCTGGATATCTGCAGGGCTGAGCACTTGTCAATCTTTGATCGTATGTTCCTTTCTGAATAGGCCTGCCCTGACTATTTTATTTTGAATTCCAACCTGCCCTCCTCCTAGCACACATGCTTTCAAGCCACCTTCAGCTGTGTAAGTGTTTTTCCATAGCACTTATTTTCTGATGTACTATATAATTTAGTTATTTACTACGTCTAGTGCTTGTCTCACCCTATCAGAATGTGTATTTCACAAGATTTTTTTTCTTCTGTTCACTAGTACTTTCCTAAAGGTTTACAATAGTTACTAATACTTAGTAAATGTTTGTTGAATAAATGAATTTTTTTTCACTCGCTTTCCTAGTTAGTATTCCTTGGACCACTCAAAGCATATTACCTCTGATTAGAAACCTGTAACAGTTTTATCATTGAAAATACAAAATAAGGAAGTAGATATAAGGGGAAAAAGTAAAGCGTAAGGAATAATGGGATATGCGTAGCAGAGGGACAACAATTAGGAATTTTAGTCAGCCACACATATTCAAATCTTTTTTTTTTTTTTTTTCTTTGGTACCGGGGATTGAACTCAGGTCCTTGCGCTTGCAAGGCAGGCCGCTGAACCGCTGAGCTAAATCCCCAGCCCTATTCAAATCTTGAGGTAGGCATGGTATAATCCCAGCACTTGGGAGGCTGAGGCAGACAGATTGCTGTGAGTTTGAGGCCATCCTGGGCCACATAGTAAGTTCAAAGCCAATCCAAACTACATTTTTGTCTCAAAAAACACACAAAAAAAAGATCTTGAGAGTCCCAAAGACCTTGTCATGACCTTGCTCTAGTAGAGATGAGAATTCCTTCCCATGCTGGGTTTTCTTCTGAGTCACCAGACAAAGAAGGAGAATGGGTATCAGCCTGTTCATGTTAATCAGGAGTTAAAATGTGTAGTCATCTTTCAGTTACTATAACAAAATACCTAAAGTAGTCAGCTTATAAAAGAGAAAAGGGTTATTTTGGCTCACAGTTTGGACAGTTTCAGCTCCACAGTCGGCTGTCCCTGTTCTTTTGAGCCTATTGGAGCACATCGTGGCAGGAACATGTCATGGAGGAAGCCCCTTCACCTTACAGAGAGAAAGAAGAAGGGACCAGGGTCTCAGTATCCCCCGAAGGGGCCCCAGTGACTTAACTTCTCCCCAGTAGGCCCAATCTCTTAAAGGTGTCCTCACCTGCTAATAATGCCACAGGGTAGTGACCAACCCTCTAAGACATGGGCCTCAGGGGGACATTTAAGATTTAAACTATAAGATAAAAGCTATCTTTTTTCTAATAGTGTGGCTCCAAATGGTTTCCGGAATTCATTCAGTCCTGCTCAGGTGGTAACCCTTTTCCTTTTTAAAGTGCTACTCAGTTCCTTACCATCACTGAGCCATTTCTGTGAGGCATTAAAAGCTTGTGGGACTTCTGGGTTTAAATGGTGTTCTCTGGTCTCAAGAGCAAGCTGTGCAGGGATAAACTGGTGTAATTGGTGCTTTAAGTGTATCAGACCGGTGGACATTCTTTTCCCATTCAGATAATTCTATCCAGACAATGATCACTTTTGACCAAGGAGGAAGGTGGAAGCACCTGCGGAAGCCTGAAAACAGCGAGTGTGATGCAACAGCCAAAAACAAGAATGAGGTTTGTGTGTGCCAGCATCCGATGTATGAGCAGACAAGCAGCCCGACCAGGCTTCTGAGTAATTAAGTTCGTACTAGTTAGGGCCCACAGCTCAAAATAGGGAAAGTGTGGAAGTAAAAGTCATGAAAGTAACTTAGATTTTGGGAAATAGGAACTGTGCAGAAGGTGAAAATGTTTTGGATTGTCTTTTAAAGAACAAAAACAGTGGCTAACAATTTGTTTTACTAACATGCAGAATGAACAGAATAGACAGATATGCTAGTGAGGGGTCAGCATCGTAGTGATGAGGCTTTAGGAATCCCAAGCCAGCAAGCAGCCATCCATACACTGTGGAGACATGCTGGACCAAAAACAGGAAAGAGCGCTGGCCTTCTTTCCTCTTCCACCTGGTGACAGAGCAGGGGAAGCAGGGGAAGCCCCTCTGAGGAGGGACCTAGAGGAAGAAATACACGTGCCACTGTAGGAGGTCCCAGATCCCGGGAGTGACAGGCCTTGACAGGCAAAAGAAAAGAAGGCGCTTTGTATCTGGCTCTTAACAGAATCCCAGAGGAGCTTATGGCACTGTGGGTGTTCTCTTCAAAATGCAATGGAGTGGTGGCTCATGACCTCTCAGAGCACCTGCAGCTGCCATGCGGTCTGCTTTCTAGACTTGCCTAGTCTTTGTGTAAGAGCCCCAGGCAGTGTGAGGTAAAGTATACTGCACTCCCCGCTCTCTCCTGCCTTCCTCCCTGTAAGTGCTAAGTCTACCTGCATCTTCCCATCCCCTTTCCCATCCTTCTGCCGTGGCCTTGCCCTCTACCTCGCATCCTCACCTTCCGCCACAGTACATACAATGGCCTCTTCATTGACCTTGCCACCTTGTCCCTCATCCCTCTTCTCGACATTCTTCATGGTTCTCCTTGCCTGGGCATAGTCTGTGTCCTGGACCTGGTGGATGAAGATTCTCTTCTGTGAGGCTCTCTCTCCCTTTTCACTCTTCCTGCCAATTGTATCCCTGGCCTACACTCTCCTGGCCCTGAACACTCTGTGTATGTCTTGCCTCTGTGGCCTTCCCCACAGTGTTTCCAGTGGGAGTTGTGCCTGTCTCCGTGAACCCCAATTAATTAGGATCAGTGGAAACCCTAACCCTCCTCAGTCCCCATCAGTTAGAACTAATCACTCCTCTTCATGAATATAGTTTGTTTGAAACTCTCTTTATTTCAATTATAGTAAAATATACACAACATACTACTGGTATTTACCATTTTAACCATTTAGAATCTCTTTTAGAGCACTTTCATTCTGCTTTACATACCTCAACTACTTCCTGAATTTTTCTTTTCAGCTTTTTTTCTTGAAGTATTGTTGATAAATTAAAATGGTATATATTTACAGTGTACAGTATGATATTTGGCTATATGTATACATTGTGAAATGACTACCACATACCCATTACCCCGCAGTTACCTTTTTATTGTGTGTAGTCAGAACATTTAGGGTCTACTCTCTTATCAAGTTTCAAACATGCTATACGGTATTATTGACCATAGTCATGATGCAGCACATTAGCTCACCAGAATTTACGCATCTTGCATAACTGAATCTTTGTACCCTTTGGCCAGTATTGCCCATTTTTCCTTTTCCCTTCTAATCCCTGGCAGCCACCCTTCTAGTCTCTCCTTGTATGAGTTCAACTTTTTCAGATTCCATATATAAATGAAATCATAAGCTGTTTCTGTTTCTGTGCCTGGCTTATTTGACTTAACAGGATGTCTTCCAGGTTCATCCATATTTCCTTTTTTAAGACTGAGCAATATTCTATTGTATATATAAACCACATTTTAACCTTTCATTCATTAAAAGACACAGCGTGATTCTCTGTCTTAGCTACTTTGAATAATGCTGGAGGGCCTGGGATATAGCTCAATGGCACCAAACCTGCCTGGCAAACTCAAGGTCCTGAGTTCGATCTCTGGTACTAAAAAAAGAAAAAGAAAAATGAACAATACTGAAACTAACATGGGGTGGGTACATGTCTCTCAAGATTCTGATTTAATTTCCTTTGGATGAATACCCAGAAGTGAGATTGGTGGTATTTCTGTCTTTAATTTTTTGTTTTTCTTTTGCGTTGGAGGTTTTTTATTTTTTGTTTGTTTGTTTTTTGAGAAAGTATCTCACTGTGTAGCTCAGGCTGGCCTTGAACTCACTGTGTAAGCCAGACTTGCCTTGAATTTTTAGCAGTCTTCCTGCCTCAACTCTCTGAGTGCTGGGATTACAGGCGTGTGCTACCATGTCTTTAATTTTTTAAGGAAATTCCATACTGTTTTGCATGATGACTGTAACAATTTACATTTCAGCCAACACAGTACAAGGGTTCCCTTTTCTCCACATCCTTGCTAACACTTCTTGTTTGTCTTTTTTGATAATGGCCATTCTAACAGTTATGAGAAAGATACCTCATTGTGTTTTTTATATGCATTTTCATGATTAGTGATGCTGAGCATTTTTTCTTGTACCTGCTGGCTATTTGTATGTTTTTTGAAAGTAGCTATTCATGTCTTTGCCTACTTTTTAAAGTGCTGTTGTTTTCTTGTAATTGAGTTGTTTGTATATTAATCCCTGTCAAATGTATTTTGACCCATTCTTTGTTGCTGTTTAACTCTTTTAAATGTGTCCTTTGCTTTATAGAAGCGTTTTAGTTTGAAACAGACCCCAAAAAGTTATTTGTGAAGCATATTTGTACACACATGTACATATAGCAATGTTATTCATAATAGGCAGGAGGTGGAGACCCTCAAGTATCTAACAACAGGTGAAGTAAAATGGTTAGTAAAAAGAGATATCACACACAGAAATGTCATTCAGTTTTCGAAAGGAAGGAAATTCTGACATCGCTGCTATACAGATGATCCTTGAAAACATTATGCCAAGTAAAATGAGCCAGTCACAAAAGATAAATGCCATAGATTTCAGTTATATGAAGTACCCGGAATAACAAAAAAGCAGGGGTAGAAAGCAGAACAGCAGTCGCTGGGGTTTCAGATAACAAATGGGGAGTTGTTGCTTAAAGGGTGGTGTTTCCAGTTTTGCAATATGCAAAAGTTCTGAAGAGTGGTTGCACAAAGGAGAGAATATACTTAACACTCCTGAACTGTACATTTAAGTTAGGATGGTGAATTTTACAAAATATGTGTTTGACCACAATTTTTATTAAAATATCTCACTGAGGTAGGACTTAAGTTTCAAGCTTTATCAGACCGCTCTGTGAGATGAGTAAGGACATTGTACCTTTGGTTTCTTTTCACAGTGCAGCCTTCATATTCATGCTTCCTACAGTATCTCCCAGAAACTAAATGTTCCGATGGCGCCGCTCTCCGAGCCTAATGCTGTGGGAATAGTCATTGCTCATGGTAAGGAGCCCTCCTCTTACCACTGCGGGTAGAAGTGGCTCAGTGCACTGGGATTCAGCCATGGCCTTTCAAGCTTATTGAAAACAGAGCAGAAGCCCACTGCCAACAACTTTTGTATGTCTGTGGTAGAGTGTCTTGCATTATAACAGTGCTTAGGTGGTTGTTTCATAGAGTCCCATCTGAGAGTGCAACATGACTTCTCTTCCCAAGTTTTAGTGGCCCTTTTGTCTGTTGCAGGAGGCCTGATGGGAAGTAATCAGAAAAAGTCATTCAAAATGATCTTCTTGCTGAGTGTGGTGGTGCACACCTGTAATCTCAGCACTCAGGAGGCTGAGGCAAGAAGATCACTATGAATTTGAGGCCAGCCTGGGTTCCATAGTGAGTTCAAGGGCAGCCTGAACTACATAGTGAGACATGAGACCCTGTCTTAAAAAAAAAAAAAGTTATCCTCTTGCCAGTAAATCCTCTGTTTCACTGCTGATGAGATGGTGGATTATGTTGCAGGTAGTGTGGGGGATGCCATCTCAGTGATGGTCCCAGATGTCTACATCTCAGATGATGGGGGTTACTCCTGGATGAAGATGCTGGAAGGACCCCACTATTACACCATTCTGGATTCCGGAGGCATCATTGTGGCCATTGAACACAGCAGCCATCCTATCAATGTGATTAAGTATGCATGAGCTCAGCTCCACACACAGTATCTACATAGAGGGCAGCTGAGGGAATGTTCTTCGGTTTACTGAGGGGAGAGATCACAGGCCCTAATTCAGATTTTTGCATTCTCCAAAACTAGGAGAGATTCTAGAAGAGATTGTATTTTAGAGCAACTCAGATTAGTTGGCATTGGTATTTCTTCTAACACATTTTTATCATTTTTAAAACTTCTTCCTTCTCATCACAAAAATATTATGGAAATATCTAAGCACTGTGGATTGGAAATGACTTCTTAAACACAAGTTTTTATAGGATAACTTGAGTTTGTTAATTCAGAAGCCCATTTTCATGAGTCAGTGCCCTCTCCTTCTGTACGTTTTCAGAATGAATCCTTTTCCCTACACTGTTAAGATAGGCATTAAAAATGAAAGAAGCTGTCAGCCATTGCTTAAGCCATTGCCTAATCTGAGGTTTTCCTATGAAGATCGAACAGCCGGAGTATTTTTGTGATATTCCCAGTATCGGTCCTCCGTTAAGATCCTTTCTCTAATTAATGTTTCAGGTTCTCCACAGATGAAGGTCAGTGCTGGCAAACCTACACATTCACCAGGGAGCCCATTTATTTCACTGGCCTAGCTTCAGAACCTGGAGCCAGGTCCATGAATATCAGCATTTGGGGGTTCACAGAATCCTTCCTAACCCGCCAATGGGTCTCCTACACCATTGATTTTAAAGATATCCTTGAAAGGAACTGTGAGTATCTCTTTTGACATTTCTACCAGAAACTTAACAACTCCTTTTCCTAAGTAATAGATTCAGGGGCCAGGGATTTAGCTCAGTGGTGCCACCGCCTGCCTCACAAGCACAAGGACCTGAGCTTGATCCCTGCTACCAAATAAAAAAAAACTAGATTCAGTTTACTTTTCTTTTAGCTGGGATTGGCAAATATGTATGTGTAGGAAAGGAAATTGGAGGTTATTCCCTGTGGGCCATGAAACAATTGAATGATACCAAAAAGGATTTTCCTTCTTGGGACTAGAACTGTTCAAGAAAAATGAGGACACGTATGTAGTTTAAACTATCATGTCAGCTATATAATAAAAGTAGAATAACTGAAATGTCTGTGGTAGAGTGTCTTGCATTATAACAATGATTAGGTTGTTTCATAGAGTCCCATCTGAGTGAAATGCATTTTGGTGATAGAATTATATTCATATATCCAAAACATTATCATTTCAACATGTGACCAATATTAAAAATTATGGAGATATTGTATATTTTTTTCTTCTAAGTCTTTGAAATCTGGTATGCCCTTTAATGCTTACACTTACAGGAAGACTCAATTCAGACCAGCCACATGTGACTAAGGCTACTTACTGTGTAGGACATTGCAACTTTGTATTCATTTTTAATGAGACTGTTTTTCCCCAGCTTATAATAGTATATATGTGTGTTTGTCTACAACTGTTTCATAACAATTCAGGGTTCTTCTCTCTGATTAGGCAAATATGCTGGAACTGTAAAGAGGAAACTTTAAAGGAAAGTATTTGCAAGAGAATCTAATTGTATCACTTCTCAAAATGTTGAAATAAAGCAGTTCTCATGCAAAAGACTTTTAGCTTCAATGCCAGTCACAGGAGAGGCTCTAGAGTGACCACTGGGCAGGTGTGAAGCCCACAATGACCACTTCTGGGTTCTGTGCCTTTGCACTAAAAAACACGGTAAAGGCCCAGAAAATGGCTTCAAAAAAAGATTGACATTGAGGCCCGGGGATTTAGCTCAGTGGTTCCACCACCAGCCTCAAGAAAGATTGACAATGTGTAGTACACAGTGTTCCCAAGTGTCACAGGCAAACCCAGACCCAGCACCAAAGATGTTGATATTATACTGAGAAATATGAATGATAAACACTAGAAAACGGTACATGTACCACCGTGTTGGTGTAGCACAATCCAAGAATAAAAATTTCAAGATATTTTACTTGAATTTTGATCCTATTAGACATTTTTATGGGTCCATTTCCTCAGAGTTTTAATTTACTGGCGCCTGAGGAAGCAGAGCTCCTGATTTGGACCTTGTCTTTCTATAAGATATTTAAATATGATTTCAGACCTTAGGGCTTCTGTCATCTAAGTTCATTAGAGAGACTGTAAAGGAGCTGGCTTGTGAATGTTACCCTCGGCAGCCAGTTCTACCGTATATCTGGTATTCAACATGGTTAAGAGGTTGCTAACCACCTGTTCTCTAACAGGCTTGTGCTGGTCTTCATATCCTGAAGGATAAAAACCTAATCCACAGTCTTTAAGTCATAGTTTTTGACTTACTTTTCCAGGAGTCGATGATACGATTTTGTGAGCCAGAAACTGTTATCATCAACAGTCAACATTTGAGAGCCAGTTGACTAGAGCTAGAATTCTAGAAAGAGGCTGTTTTCCCTACTGATTGAAACAAATTAACACGTGGTGTAATTGAACTTGTGCTCTTGGGTAGTTAGTGTCTAATCCTAAGCAAAGAGCCCCTGAAGTGGAAATACCCGGTTACTCATCTCTGACAACTTAAATGGAACGGGTCACAGATAAGGTGAGCAAGACACAGCAGCCTCTCAGTTTGGAGAGAACTCTAGAACTTTCCCGTACAGCTTCCCACTTCAAAATAAATCAGGTTTTCCCTAATCCTTGGAGAGCTGGTGAGAGGGAAATGATCATCTTTTGCATAAGGAAATGCAATTGCTAGTAGGCTATAGACTAATGTAATGTTTTGTTTGTGATTCCAAATAGGAGCAATAGCTTGAATCAGTCTGCCTTCCTGGTCCTCATTCTTCCTGTAGCCTGGCAGCTGCTTTCTGTGGGTGGGCTTTGTGTTATACACCTTCCTGAACCACCTTTCTGTCCTTAGGTGAAGAGAGGGACTATACCATATGGCTGGCACACTCCACAGACCCTGGAGATTATGAAGATGGCTGCATTCTGGGCTATCGGGAACAGTACCTTCGGCTACGGAAGTCATCTGTCTGTCAGAATGGTCGAGACTATGTTGTGACCAAGCAGCCATCCATCTGTCCCTGTTCCCTGGAGGACTTCCTCTGGTAACACTCCTCAGACCCCTCTGTCAGCATCTGCCCATATGCGAAGGGGTGAAAATAGTTGTCTTATAGAGCTAAAAATACTAAAATCCTTTTCCCCAAGAGTGGAGAACTGCTGCTTCTTATCCAGGAAACTGAGACCCAGAGAGAGGGAACAAAAGTTGTGAATAATTAGACAAATAGTTTAATCTTACTGGATAATCATTGTGCAGAATGAGCAACCAACTCCACAAATCTTAACTTGATAATGGCGGAAGAAAAGAAGCTATTCAGAAATGAAGAAAATAAAACAGCAACATCTATAGCCAGTGATGAGGCAGAAACACCAAGAAGAGTGGTATAGATACAAAGGGGAAATTAATTTTAGAGAGCAACCACATGGTTTGAGTACTAGGTTTCAGTTCTTCTGCAAGGCAGAGAGATAGTGATTTGATCCTTAGTCACTTTTTTAAAATTTTTTTTGGGTTTTTTGAGACAGGGTCTCACTATGTACTTGAGGCTGACCTGGAAATCACTATGTAGTCCAGGTTTGTCTTGAACTCACAGCAATCCTCCTGCCTCAGCCTCCCAAGTGCTGGGATTACAGGTGTGTACCACCACGCCTGGCAAGTGATGATCCTTAGATTAGTCACTTTTTTAAAATTTTTTTTGGGTTTTTTGAGACAGGGTCTCACTATGTACTTGAGGCTGACCTGGAAATCACTATGTAGTCCAGGTTTGTCTTGAACTCACAGCAATCCTCCTGCCTCAGCCTCCCAAGTGCTGGGATTACAGGTGTGTACCACCACGCCTGGCAAGTGATTTGATCCTTAGATTAGGGGTGACATCAGAATGTTGGTTGGGCCAGGGATTTAGCTCAGTGGTTCTGCTGTCTTCCTCCCAATCACAAGATCCTGAGTTCGATCCCCGGTATAAAAAAAAAGAATGTTCATGGTCTTTACGTCCTTTCGAGGTTTATAGACCATCAGGGTGGACTCCTTGGAGTTGAGGGCCCTGCAGACTTAAGGATTAGTTACTTAGCTAGCATGGAGTTAGTTGATTATATAAAAAGGCAAGGGAGTCCCTTTTGTAGCTTAAATGAGGTGATTTTAGGGGAAATAAGAGAGACTGCTTCACACCACAGATAATAATCTTGTGGAGATTGCTATGTACAGTAGATACTTACAGGAGGTAAGAGTGTATCCTAAAGGCTTTGGACAAAAAGGCAAGCAGACAGCAGTCATGTCCTCCCCTGTGGTGTAACCTTGAACTGCAGGTGACAGCGGAATGCAGGTCTAAGGGAAACATGGGTCTGACCCTGTGTAGCTCACGTCTGTATGTAGCATAGCGAAGGGTCCTTCCTTCTCCCTTTGCACAAGAAAAACATCACTGCATCACCTTGGTGTGACAGTAGGGCCACGGGTTGTTGATGTGGAGTTTAGGATGGATAACCTGTACAAGTCTAAAACTTTGTATCCTGTCCTTGACTCCAAATACACCAGGCTCTTTCCTTGAACGTTTTCATTTTTCCAAATGTTCTGTGATTCTTCAGAGCTCCAGACACTGTGCCAGGTGTTTCCTCTGCCTGGAAGTCTCCGCAGGACCCCCACCCTGGCCTAGCTTCTCCCTGGCCTTAATACTAAGCTCAAATAACACCACTGTCACGTCTCTCCCATTCTCCTTCCTTTAAGCTCCCACAGGCCCTCTGTGTTGGCACTTACTGTGTTTTAATAATGGTTTATACGTTTGGTTCCACCATTAAACCCAAACTCCTTGCAAGTGTACAGTGTTCCGTGTGGTAATATAACACAGTGGTAATGACAGCAGCTAACGTTACTGAGCATTAACTCTGTAGTTGGCACTGTCCTAAACAATGTACATTTAAACAGAAAAGTTGTGACTAACTGGTCTGGGAAGTGGCAGAGCTGGGATACCTAAAGTTCTTACCTGAAATTTCTCCCTGTTGTTACAGGGCAACATCTTTTGCATCTTTTGCTCTCTTTGCCCTCCCTGCTAAATACTTGTAAGAAAACCGTTAAACTACAAGTGGCATCTATATAGTCCCCAAATATTCATTCATTGCCTGTAATGCACAGGGCAATGCAGAGAGTGAACATTAGTTGTGATACAAAGCAAAGGGAATAATTGCCCTGCAGATTAGAGAGGGGAGAAAAGATTCCAGGTAGGGCTGAAAAGAGGTGGGTTGCCGAAGGCTTAGTTTAGGAGGTGGCATTTTGGCCAAGTACTGATGAACAGTAGGCTTTGACCACGCACGTCAAGGAAGAAAGTGGGTCATTAAAGCCAGTGGACCACTGTGAGAATAGACATGTGACAGCACAGGAAGGGTTGCCAGATGATAGAACGTGAGAAGTCAGAGTCGTGAGACAGAGTAAGGAGGCCCAGATGGAGGACGCCAAGGCTAAACTTTCCATTTAGATGGTAGAAGGAAGGCAGTGGCATGGACAGACGTGGAAGTGATAAGGAGGGGGTGGCACAGGGAAGAAAACATGCTGTTTTGACCATTTTATTCCTTTGAGATTCTGTCAGCCTATTTAGGTGGTGACATCCAACAGGCATTTAGAAATGTAGGATTAGGGCCCAAAAGATAAAATGTGGAAGTTTTAATAACAAATACCACTAAAATTCTGTTCACCAAAGGAGAGCAGATTCAGAGAAAGTGAAAGAAGAAATTATAGACCCCTAGCAAAGTCTGCATTTATGGTAGGAAGAAAGAAGCACAGCCATGGCCACAGAAACAGCTGTAAGCGAAATTTGCCACCAAGGTGGGTAGGGGCATAGTGACTTGTTGGATGAAACAACAGGTGACAGAGGTGGCAGTACCAGAGAGGGCTCCTCTGGGTTTGATAACTAGCAAACTTTGGAGCTCCTTTTCAAGATTGCAGAGAGGGGCTAGGCATTTAGCTCAGCAATTCTGCCACCTGCCTCATAAGTGCGAGGTCCCAAGTTCAATCCCTGGTACCAAAAAAAAAAAGATTGTAGAGGGGGTTGAAGACAAAATACATGGAATGTCAAGTAAATGAGTAAAATAGGGCAGGAAATATTCTTTTAGGAAATTGAGCCACCAGTAAAGATGGGGACAGTGACGCACATCTGTAATCCCAGCTATTTGGGACACTGAGGCAGATGGATCACAAGTTCAAGGTTAGCTTGAACAACTTAGTGAGACCCTATTCAAAAATTTTTTTGAAAAGGAAAGAGAGGGCTGGAGGAGTAGCTCAGTGATAAACTGCTTGCCTAGCATGTACAAGGCCCTGAGTTCAGTCCCCAGGGTCACAAAAGAAGAAGAGGGGGGAAAGGAGGGAATGGGGGAAAGGAAAAAGAAGGAGAAGAGAGAAAGAAAAAGCAAATTAAAAATGGGTCCATTAAGGGAGAAAAAGATTAACGCAGTAATTTCTGGGATAGTGATATCTGTAGACTAACAAGAAGTCACCAGTTAAGTGGGAAAGACTGACTGTCCCTTTGTGCTGTCAGTGAAGCAAGGGTCCAGGACTGGTAGGAAGAGTGAGACCAAGACTAAGGAAGCTTGAGTAGTGATGTCAGAGTTTTCCTATGGGGAAAACAGGAAAGGAGAGCGATTGAGAGGTGCTATGAAGAGATGAGATGGAATAGAGGGCGGGAAGAGGTGTTTCCATGGGAACCAAAGACTGTCCAATGAACTAAGAGACACTAGAGGGGAAAATTAGTTTGACATATACCCCGAAGGGCAAAATAAATTACATTTGGAAGTAAAGAATTATTAAATTTCCTGAATTCAGGTGTGTTTTTGATGCTTCTGTTTCTGTGCCAACCTTTGTCTTAGTTGCATGCCCCCTACCCTACTATGAGCTGCATTCACTACCTTCCCTGAGCCTGAGCTGTCTCAGACCCCCTAGTCTAGAGCTCCAGCTGTTCCTAAGACTGCTGAACCTGATTCATAAGCTTTTTTTTCTTCTCAGCAGAGTCTTGTCCATATCCCCCAGAGCCATTTCCTAAATGACTAAATTAGTCCACTTTCCATCATAACAGATATTTGAGGTGATCAAAGGGAAAAGGTTTATAACGAGAAAGTTCATGATTGGCCCAGTTGTTTTAGGCCTGTGGCAGTGCAGCACTTCAAGGTAGGGTATGTGGTAGAGCAAAACTGCTCACCTTGTGGACAGAAAGCAAAAAAGAGAAGTGACCCAAACACCTCTGGGACCAAGCTTTCACACATGAGCTTTGGGGAAAACAGCTCCAAATTATAGTATAGACTTTCTTTAGAGATGTCATGGGCCTTTCTGAGCTGCTAAAAACTCCTCTAGTCTGGAATATTAACTGTCCAGTGCCCCCATAAAACTTTCATTGATGATCACACTGTCTTTCTGTATCTTTGAAAATTACCTTATTTGTTGACTCTTGCAGTGATTTTGGCTACTTCCGCCCAGAGAATGAGTCAAAGTGTGTGGAACAGCCAGAACTGAAGGGGCATGACCTAGAGTTTTGTCTGTATGGACGAGAAGAACACCTGACAACTACCGGGTGAGATGGCCTTTATGCCTTGTCACAGATGAATCTTCCTTGCTTAGGGAGAAAGCTGTTTTTCTCCACACGGAGAGCCGAGTAGTACTCAGGTTACTCTCAAAAGCACCACCTGCGAGAACTTCCTGAAGTGATGAGAATGCTCTGTGACCTGCTGTGTCCCATATGGTAGCCACTAGCCACACAGAGCTGTTGACATGAGCGCAGCTGAAGAACAGAATTTTTCATTTTAATTAATTTGGATTTAAATGGATGCCATATGGACAGTACAACTCCAGAGGAGCCTCATTACCTCTCCTCGGATAAATTTGCCACCCTCTCTCCGTTGTGTACCACTTATTAATGAGCTTTCTCTATGGCACAGCCTCTTGAGATAGAAGGGACAGACATGTCTCTTACAGCTAGGAACAGAGGTGCTTAGTCAGTTAAGCATACCTGTGGGCATTCCTCCTGGCCTGAAAAATGACATGTTGCCAAATCAGTTTGCTTTGCTTACCGTGCACAATGCCAACCATTGGAACAAGGAGCTTTTCAAAAGAGAAAATTTATTCATGGGATGGCCAAGGGTGTAGAGACAGGAGGACAAGTCTCAGATCTGCCTCCCTGACAGTATGGTTTGGGGATGTTTATGGAATAAAGAAGCAGGGTGATTTAAGGCATGGAAAAGGTGATTGGAAGTGAGGTAATCAGTGATCTGCACATGTGATCGTCACAGCTCTTTGTATGATGCATGTTCAGAAAATGGCAGTGATAGCATGATCTGAGGATGGAGTTGTGATCATCCATAAAATTGTAACCCCCAAAATATGCAAAATGTCACCGTCTAACACCTGCCCAGACACAAGTGAAGAGTTGGTGCTTTCAACAAAAGTGGTCAAGTCCCTGAAAAGTACTCTAGGCAACTGTTATCCCCATGACCCACACACAAGATGTGACATCTATAGCAAACCAAGTAGGAAGCCAATAAAATATTGCTTAGCTGAATGAACCCAAAATTAATGATTTTTAAAAGTCAACTGAAAGCAAGTATAGCTAGAGAGTTTATTCAGGTTTTCCCTTAGTTACATAAGTTCTCCAGTCTTGTTTGCAAGAAGTAGGCAAGAGTCCAGGAATATATCTTTGTATTCTGTTAATAAACCAACTTTCCTTCCTTTCCCCTTCTGCTCTCCTTTCCTCCCTCTCTTCCTCCCTCCCTGCTTTCCTTTTCACAGCTCTGAGTCATTATAAAAAGCTAGAAAAGTAAGAGGAAAAAAAGTTGATACTCATATACATAAACGAATAACACAGAAGATTCATCATACATTTACTTCCTTTTTTTTCCTCATTGAGTTTATTGGCACATTTTAGGGTATACAGCACAGTTGCATTCATTGTTGGGATCTTGTACCTTTACATGACAGGTCTTGGTTCTCATTTTTTCCCCTTGTCCCTGCCCTCCCTTCACCCCCTCCTCCCCTCCCCATTTACAAACACTTTATTTCCATCTTTTCATTTCCTCAGATTTTTTTCTTTTCCCTTATTAACTTTCGCCTACCCTTCCCACTTTCCCTACACCTTTAGCCCTTTTCTTCCCATTTCACAATGTCAGTTATCTCATTAGGATCTTATGTACTATTATAGTTTATTCACACCAGAGAAACTATTCGGTATTTACACATGTGACTGTTTCACTTAGGAGTATATCCTCAATATGTATCCATTTTCCTATGAATGAATCTAATTTCTCATTCCTTGTGGCTGAGTAATATTCCATTTTATAGAAAAACCACATCTTTATCCAGTTTCTTACTTCCTTTTTTCATTTGACCTTCTGCCAGATCTTCAGCTGCACTGATTTTTGGCCACTATGTAAGAAGATCCTTCTTTATATGATGAGCACTGATTTGTTGATCAGCAAATCTCATTATTTATTAGCAGTAGGGCTTACATCTAGCATTAATGCTGCCTCCTGTTTCGTTATTTTTAGTTCAAACCCACCATTGTAATAGCCACAGTGGAAGGTAGATTTTAGTAGACTTTGAGAATATTTGGGGCTTTGTGTATTTTATAGCTTGCTAAACAGAGGCCTAAGACTCTTTCAGCAGCAGTTATCAGTCCAGCTGCTGCCAACGTACTGGTCATGGCTGGGGCTTGGCTCCCCTGCCTTTACCAGGAGTACAGTGCATCCCAACCCAGAAGCAACAGCCACCAACTGTACACCTTGACTGGAAAGCAACACAGCCACTGCCAGCAAGCACAAAACCCTGTAAGCAAATCTCTCACTTTCAGGTACCGGAAAATTCCAGGAGACAGATGCCAAGGTGGAGTGAATCCAGCTCGGGAAGTAAAAGACTTGAAAAAGAAATGCACAAGCAACTTTTTAAGTCCCAAAACACAGGTACATTAAAATGCATCTAATTGTTACATACAAGTGGGGTTTCATATTCTGTCAGGAAGTATCAAAGTTATAGCATCAAAAATTATGTTAATGAAGGGAGGGCAGGGACAAGGGAAAAAAATGGAACCAAGACCTGTCATGTAAAGGTACAAGATCCCAATGATGAATGTAACTGTACTGTATCCCTAGAATGTACCAACAAACTCAATGAGAGAAAAAAAATTATGTTACTGATACGAAGTGGTCAGACTGCTTCTATCAGGCTTACCTTTTCACAGGAAGCTATTAGGATAAAGAATAAGAGCCTAATGATAAGCCCATTTCACTAAAAGCCCTTTTTTTTCATTAGGGAAAAGATATCCTATAAAGTTGTAGACATTTTAGAAGCAGAAAGTTGTGGAAATTTCTGAGCCTCAGAGTCCTTTAGGAAAAAGACTCAAGAAGGCTGGCTGTCTGCTATATGCATGTGTTGAAATATCACATTAATACATACAATTATAATATGTTAACCAAAAACTTTAAAATGAATTTTTCAAAAGAGAAAAGGTTGGCTTTAAAAAGCCTTTGGCCTAGAGTTGTGCACATGTGGAGAAGTGTTGGAAGGTAGGTAGGGTAGACTTTTGTATGAGTCCTGCCAGTATATTCAGAATGAGAAGCTAAACTATGGTCATGATGGGCAGGTGTTGTTTTAAAGGCAAGTTATGAGGCTGACTACAAATTGTAATGAACTGTCTGGTGGAAATATGGTGAAGAGGAACCCTCTTGATACAGAAGCCCTGGACCAGAAATCTGACTTGGGGAGCCAAACTAGGGGCACCTGCTTCCTAATCTGTAGTATGCGAAGTTGAGCTGGACAGTCTGCAGTCACTGGCCCTCAGCTATTTTAAGGGATGAGAGACTGACAAAGGGTGGGATTAGGAAAGCAAGGGAGAAGAGTGTGTGGGTGTGTGTTTTTGTAAGGGGACAAGTTTCCCCCTTCTCTGCACCCCTGCCCTGAGCTCCTGGCGGCTGTCCTCAGAGTGTTTGTGTGTGTGATTGCACAGGACTCCCGCCCACAGGGACACAGCTTGTCCCAGAATCCAGCTCCGCCTCCTCTTGGATACACTGAAAACACACACTTCCTATCTCCCACCCAGAAGCAGGTAGGTTACACAAAAACAATGATACGATAAGGCTTATTTGTAAACATTCCAAATATTGAATAAAAACATAAACCTTGGTGTCATAGGGTGGCCTACCTGTGTAGCACTGACACAGCATCATCCAGATGATGATTTTGTTCTCCATTTATTCAGCCCGCTATTATTATAGTGTCCCTTTCCTGCTCTGCCCTTCACCTCCAAGACTTGTAAATAGGGATGTGGAACTGTCTCGATCACCATCCTTCTTTCACCTAGGCAGTCATCAAGGCTTCCAGCGTAGCTTTGACTTTAAAGCATTTGTAGCCTCCTGATAGTAGAGTTCAGATCCCCCTGCCTGCTGTGGTTTTGTCCTCGTAACAGAGATGGTACATCTTTGGGTGGAGTTGGAAAAGTCACATCATTAAGTGTCTCAGGGTGTAGATGGCTCAGAGAAAGGGGAATGAGCAGCCACTTCAAATGCGGTCCTAGAATATGCATGCCTAAAAGCTTTTGTGTTTTATATTTTAATTTATCAAGAATTCCAAGTCAAACTCTGTTCCAATTATCCTGGCCATTGTGGGATTGATGCTGGTCACAGTTGTAGCAGGAGTGCTCATCGTGAAGAAGTACGTCTGTGGTGGAAGGTAAGGAATGTGGAAGGGAGTCAGCGGTACTGAATTCCAACCATAAAATCCAGCCTATAGAGTTGAGTATGCCTTTTGGCTAAAACTAGATGAAGTGATGAGTAGTTGAAGTGATGTTCCTAAAAAGTCTGGTCCAGATCCTCTCCTAGCTTATATTTTCCTTGTCCCCTCTGGGCTGCGTTGCCCGTCTGTGACTCACGTGTGTGTATAACCCTGAGTATGTAGGAAGCACTCCCTGCTCACCACATGCTTCCTTTGACAGGTTCCTGGTGCATCGATATTCTGTGCTACAGCAGCACGCAGAGGCTGATGGTGTGGACGCTCTGGACACAGCCTCCCGTGCTAATAAGAGTGGTTATCATGATGACTCAGATGAGGTGAGACTGTTTCTTCTGGAGGTGTGCTCCAAAAGTACAAAAAATAAAAATAAAAAGATTCTACCCCCCATCAAAATTCAAGCAAAAGAAGGCATAATCCAGAAGCAGCACCTTAATGCCTGCAGGATTTGGCGAGCCCAGAAACTAGATGATTGCTTTCCAAATATGTGTATTTTAATGTGTCAGTAATATGGCTTGTGTCTTTCTTTCAGGACCTCCTGGAATAGCTGTTCCAAGGAGCTGGGACCCGGCACGGAGAGTGGAACCGCAGTACCTCTTACACTCCCTGTGGCTTCAACTTGGGGAAGTAAATTTCCCATTTCAAGGGACCCAACTCTGTTTCTGCTACTTCCATCAAAGCCAAAAGGACCTACACTAAAGAACTGCCGGGTGGGGTGGGAAACTCTGAACACTCTTAAGATTGGCTCTGAACAGGGGGAAATTTTAAGTTCTTTAACTTTTTATTTCAAGTTCTTTTTTTTTTTTTAATATAGGCTTTGGGTTTGTTTGGGTTTTGGTTTCTTTGGGGTTTTTGTTTATTTGTTTTGTTTTTTAAAGGAAATGAAATGGAATTTGAAGGGATTGTTTCACTAACCTCACTCTTGCCTGTTCTGTGTGGCGTCCACCCCAGAGCATCTCCCGACTCCAGCATCAACTCCCAAATATGTGGTGCTGTCCTCAGGCTCCGTCTGCCATGTGAAGCAGCCTTGGAGAGGAAAACAGGCTGCAGTTACTGGTACAGCCTGGCCAGCTTTTCTCCATCTGGGGACAGCTCTGGTCCAGGAACATTTTATACCAGCTCTTCACACAGATCTGCTGCTTTTATTTTCCCCTGAAGACCATAGACCACACTGATTTTTCTTTCTCCTGTTTAGGCAGTACCCTTGTTAATTGCCCGTTGGCAACTAACTTAACCATGTGCTTCCAAGATACTAAATCAGGAAAACTTACAGGGCAATATTTTTAACTTGGGGCAGGAATAAGGAAGCAACAAGAGAATTGACTAGATTTAGCACCTATTAAAGACAAAACTCTGGCTGTTTCTGAGATGGTTGAAACTGTGCTTTGTGTGTATGCCAGTAGACTTACCCAAGGACAGTCAAGGCTTGGCCTGGAAGTCTGCCCAGCTCAACCATCTCTGCTGGAGCTGACCGGTGAGCACACAGTGAGTGCAGCCCTGAGGACTAACATCTGCAGTCTTCCATTTTCCCTTTGTACCTGACATGTTGGCTCATGATTGAGCCGTAATGGCTGCTTATTTGCTTCCTCCTAGGTTGCCATTGTACATGGAGCCAGGACTAGAGATGTTTTCAAATTTACAGATTTTTTTTTTTATCAGCATTTTATCACCAGGCTTTTGTCTTTACCTCTTTTCCCAGCTTCGCCAAGTCATTTGTTGACATGAAACTTTTGGCTGAACCAATTGAAAACACACTTCTGGTTTGATACATTGTGTTCATATTTTAAATTTAAGGAAGTTTTCCATTTGACATTTTTCCAGATTAAATGAATTACAGAATGTAGTTGGGTCAATTTTAGGGTGACCATATAATAATGGAAAGCTGCAATAGTTAGTTTTAATACAGCTTAAATATTTGCTACACAGGGATATAGTATGGTCAGTCTTTGGTTTACTATACCTACCTACCATGTTGATCTCAGTTTCCCCCAGTAATTGTGATTAGGACATTCTTTGATGGATGCCATTTTGCTGCTAGTTCGTTGTGTGGCTAGTAAGTCAGTAAAAAGTAAATGTGCCAAAATTACTTCTGTCAGAATGCGTGAGCAGATGGCAAAGTTCTCTACTCCCCAAAATGGATGAACAGCAGCAGGGAAAGAGGGGGAGGAAGTGGATGGAGAATTTTAGAAACTTTGAAACTGCAGTAAAATTAAATGAGTCAGGGAACTTCTGTTAGAAAATGAAGTTAGGACAGTTTTTGTGAAGAGAATATTTGTAAGGGCTGGAGTATAATAGTTTTAAGCTCATTTTGCATGGTTTTAAATTTTTAAATAATTCCAAAGATATATACTAGCTCACAAATTATAAAAATGTCAGCCCTGTCCCCACCCTTACCTCTTGTCCACAGTGAATTTGATGCCCAGAAAAGACTTATTTACACCACATATCTTTTCTTCCAGCATATACCTGTATGGATGTGGGTTAAGATGTGCCAATATACAATAATCCTTTTATTAGTTTTAAGATGTAGGAAGGTTAACATTCTTCTCTAAATGTATAAGATTAGAGCTCTTTGATTATAATAATATCTTAGATTTCTATAAAATTGACAATTTTCACAGCACTTTCTCTTATATAATTTGAGCCACCAGCGTTCTTGTGATGGAACTATGCAGCCAAACTTAAATCAGTTGTCCAGGGTCCATGTGTGTGGTATGAGCAATACTGGGTGGTCGTCCTCAGAGCTCTGGAAAGTTCTTATGCACGCCAGTGGTGAGCACTTGGAACAGAGCTTTTCTCTCAGAGGTGACTTGCTGTTCTTTAGGACAGGGGTCAGTGGCATTGCTTTCAGAGCATTGTTTAGCACCTTTTTGTTTTCTTTCTGAAAAACAGAAAATTTTATTCTCCTGTTTTTCATGGCTGAAAACAAAAGTAATAGTAATTTTGAATGTGTCTTCAGGGACAGGTCCTCCCCTCATGGAGGATCGCTGTTGAGGAGCAGCAGTGTGAGTCTCCATGGATGGGTCCCCTTCTCCATCCTTTGTTCCCACCATGGGCTGGTGAGTCTGTTGCCGTTGGATTGCCTGCTAGCCTGGCTCTTCCTTTTAGTGGCTTGTTAGCTTTCTGTAGCAGTCTCACAAATGTGTCCTCTCCCCCAGAGACTAAAACAGCCTAAATCTATTACAGCTTCTAAAATAAAAAAAGTTCTGGTTTGTCCTACTCAGGAGCATCACCCTTGACATTAAAACCTAACGTATCATCCGTCAACTCCCAGGCTGCAGAAGAGATTTCTGGAGGTTTGACCAATGGAACTTAGCACTCTTAGCTAAAGTAGACATAATCAGACAGTCCAAAATGATCTGCGCTCTTAAATCCAGAATCCTCCCCATTCAAGGCCTAGCAGATTTTTTATTTTTCTTGAGACCAGAGACCTGGGTGGAATAGCCTAAACTGTGAATCGAGTGGGAACACTACAGAAGACTAGAAGCCTTTGGAGAGTAGCGGTAGTTATGGGGCTTAGGACATATGACAGCATCTATATTCCTGAACCTGGGAATTGTCGTCTGTCTCTGGACAGGCTAGGCTTCCAGTGTGTATCTTTCTTACTCTTAGGTTTGCCTGTGGGTCTCAGTGTGCATCAACTGGCATTCTGGCCGCCTCCAGCCCCTGCCCTGTGCCTATAAACTGTAGCTGGCCTTCATCATGATACTAGCGTACAGAGAGGCACAGGGCCATCGGTACTGTACTAGCCCCAGGGTGCCAGGACTTGCCTGGCTTTCCAGGCAAAGCATCCAGGTAGAGTCTTTTTCTTTTAAAGAGCACTCTAAAGAGCGTTGCCCATCTGCTCATTGTCAGCACCGCCTTCTTATCTCCATATTAAGCTAGGAAGCTTGGAACTGCTAAATAGGAAGAGATGTACCTTTTCAACTTTCTGCCACCTTCCCAACAGGAAAATTAACATGGACCTAAATGTCCTTTAAACAAAGCCAAAGTTTAAGATTTGCCATGTGATGTAGTGACATTGAGGGCAAGAGACATCAGGGCCAGGATTCTGTTCAATCTGCCACTGATTTACCCAGGGCAGGCAGCTCTGGGAGCGTCATCTGGCCCTAGCAGAGTCTAGCCCAACCCTCAGGAAGGATAATTGAGATATCAGGAGCATATTGATGTCCTAGTTATGTTGATAACAATAAGAATTAGAACATTAATTTGAAATTATCCTCAACAACTTGCTGTATGCATTTTTCACACACTAGTACATCCTTAAGCATTCTTGTTTATATGGAATAACAAACTAATCTGTACCTTTATATATATATATATTTATATGTACATATATACATGTATAAACTGTATAGTGTACATGTTAATGATTTATTGATATGCCCCAAATCTTTAATGCATTTCTCACCCTCTGCATGCCCTCAATTGTGGTTGGGTGACTAAATGTCCCCTGGTGGTTCTGCCCACCTCCCATGTTTGAACCTCTGGGGAGGAGGGTTTGGGTCGTACTCTCTTATTCTCGTGCACAGAAATGCTCAGGGTCCCCATGTACCTGTTGTTCATTCCTCTCTTGTCTCTTCTTCCCTTTCTGAGCATGTGGTCCTTCCCAACGTATGAGACAGTCGCCTTCTTATGAAAGTGTTAAGCAGTATTAAGATCATTACTGCATGTGTGCTGAAAACCCAAGTTTTCTGTTCGCTTGGGACAGAAAATTGCATGTAAGGTGAGATAATTAAGTTTCAGTGACCCTTGTCTTATACAGTAAAACCAGACCCCACAATGAAATCCCACAAAATGGAAATAAAACTCAAATTTCTTTAGCATTGTGTAAATAAATCTGGATGTGTTTAACTTTGTACTGGTAATTTTCTGTATATTTGCAATATTTGGGTTAGAAATAAAACAGACTGGACTTTGTTACTTGACCTACTGAGATGACTAAGCTGTAGTTTGTTAATGTGACAGGTTTTCCAGTTCTCTAGCTTTGAAAAATCAAATCCCAGGAACCCACAAAGAAGCCATGTAAAGAGCCAGGACTGTGTATTTCTAGCATGAAATGTGTTAGATAATTTGTGATGAAAATGACTGCCCGAAGGGGTGAATTGTTCCTCTATAAATTATCTGATTTTCTTGTTCTTCATTATCTTCTTCTTTATGTTCATAAAGATCCCCCCACCCCCGGCATTTACTCTCACCTTCAGACCTACCAGCAGACTTACCTTATAGGCTTTTATTTACTGCTTTCTTCCTTCTCAATACAGCAGTTTATTTTGTTTTGTTTTGGTACCAGGGATCAAACTTAGGACCTTGTGCTTGCAAGGCAGGCCCAGCACCACTGAGCTAAATCCCTGGTCCTGCTGCAAGTATCTTTACTCTCCTGAATTCTGTGTTCTTTGTGTCAGGTTTGACAAATGAGTTTAACCTTCATAACTTTTAGTCTACCCCACTTAGATTTGTCTTGCTGCACTTACTCACGGTCCTTCAAAGAGCAGCAGCTCTCCTCTCTTCCAAGCATTGCCTGTAGGAGACTTCCTGCCCTCCTCTGCCTAGAGCCTTTAGCCATTCTGCTCTGCTGTTCTGGGCCAGTATTTCCATTAAAGCTGCAGCGCCTTGATCTGGAGATGACAGGGCAAGCCCTTGTTCTTGAAGAGCACCTACCCCAGAAGATTATCTGCAGGGGTTTTTGTTTAAAGAATTCTCACATAATGTTCTAAGATTTACACTGTTCAGAACCAATAGGCTGCTTTCTCAAAAGTGCAGATTTCTGTATTCTACCAGCCCTGTTGAATTAAGACTTTATAATGGGCAGATCCAAGAAATCTGCATCTTACCTTCCTTGCAACAGAGATCTAAGTCTGAAAGCCTGGGCCAGCCCAATTTCCTCATCAAAACAGGGCTGAGCGTAGATAACAAGGGGGTCCCCTCATAGGTCAGTTGCTTATACTTTTAGGGGCTTTGGCTGGGTCAGACAAGAGAAATATGTCAGGGAAACAACTGTACTTGTTCTGAGGGCACAAATCTAGCCTTTTTCCAGTCAAACCACCAACCTCCTCAGCTGACCTCTTCTTGTCAGAGCCTGACAGATTCCTGGCTCTGCAGTATATCTATAGGTTGTCTTGGACCATAGACAGTATACAGATTACAAAGGGACTGGGGCGCCGGGCGTGGTGCTGCATGCCTGTAATCCCAGCACTCGGGAGGCTGAGGCAGGAGGATCACTGGGAGTTTGAGACCAGCCTGGGCTACACAGTGAGTTCCAGAGCAATCTGAACTACATAGTGAGAC